GGTATTCAAAGCTGTCATCTTTTATGTTGATGACTCTTTAAACAATCTGAAAACCAAAAGAAACAGAAGGCTTGTCGGCGAGGTTGATTGGGTATATTCCCCTGCTCTTCAAAGAACTTTAATACAATAGATTAGAAAAATATGAGTTTTGCGTTAAAATCAGGGTCCAAACCTTGTTCGTTATCGGTGACATGGCACTGCCTCTTTGGCTGTTTCCTTACTACTGCATCAATGAGAAATGGGTAGGATATGTGATAACGGTACTCTATTTTTGGGAACTCTTCAGTGCCATCAACCTAAAGGAGGTAAGAAGGTGTTGACGATCGGTCACACGATATCTACAATTTAAGTGCAATGTTTGTAACAAAATGTTCCCTGCTTACATTACTTTACAAAATAACAGAGTATATCTAACAATCTTCCAAAATATCCCAAAAATATCGATCTTGTTCATTTTGTATTGATTTTATCTTGTTTAAAATCGATGTTGAATGAAATTACAAACATCATACCTTTTTCTCTGTAATTATATCATACATTGTCTATTTCAACGATTTTTAGCCAATTAGAAATGCAATACATTTCAAGTTTATAGAATTCTTCCGCTCTCTAGCTCATGAAGGAAGCATCAGTTCGAAAGAAAAGGGCGAATTAAGAAAACAAACCGCTGAATCAGATGGTGGCCTAACCCCTTTGAGAGAATTGAATTTGATGTCACATACTGCTTCAACGTAAGAAATACCTGAAAAATCAACAAAAAGTATTCTAACAGATAGAAATGCGGTACGACGCGATGCTCTAAAATTATAAGCACTTAGCATTTGGCAGTTCCTGGATAATTTTCCGTATACATAAAGCAATCCCACAGAAATGCATCGTTGGTGCATCCTTTCGAAATGCATTGAAATTGGTAGCAGATATCAAGGCTATGGGCAGTGATTGCATTAAATAACTTTGGATGATGGGCAGGTAATGTAAAACACCTATAAAGTTGAATCTCTAGAAAAAGTCGAGTTGACTTAAAAAAAGCCATTTACACTCAGGTTAAAAATCGACCACTTCTCAATGTGGTCTATAACTTTCTGTAAATCCTCTTCGAAAGGCTCCTCCATTTAACAGATCTTATCACATTATTGATCTTTCCTTTCCATTGAAAAATTGATATTGACAAAACAAAATTGATATTCAAATGTATAAATTCAGATACGACGTTCGATGCAGTAGACCTAAATAGGTAATGGGTGGGAATATAGTTAAGCTTTGGAAAATCAGCCAAAAAATAGAATCTAAGCTTGAATGACAATAGAATCTTTTGGCCATATGCTGAAAGTCTAAACAAAAATCACATTTCCCTAGCTTTATCCTTTTTTTAGAGGTTCTAATTTTTAATAAGAGTGAGAATATCATAAAACTTTTGTTAGCTTAAATGGTAATAGAAAAGAACACTTTAGAGCAGACAATGAGATGGTTTGCCATCAATCAAAACGGCGGGATACAAATGGTATTATCATAATATAACTTGACAAACCCTCAATGTATGCTTGATAATAAAAAATCGATTGTCTTTTGCAAAATGTTGTTTAGGCTATGAACCATAAGACCCATTGTATTTGAGAGCGGTCTCCTTTAACAAATATAAATGAAACAAATTTCCCACCATTTACAACTATTTCCGCAGTCTCACAGAAATTGTTCTTGCACAATTTCCTTTCCTAACTATACCATTTCGAAGGGATAGCAATTTTGGTTCAATTTTTGGACAGTTGTTAACCTATTTCCCAAGTATTTTTGGGTAGCAAAAAACTTTAAATGGCTTTATAAACAAATGTTTTATTCTAGAGCTTTTTCATTTTATCCTTAAGTCTGATACTTTTCAAAGTATAAAGTCCATCAGAAAATTAGTCGAAAATGCTAAGCAAGGTAACATATTCTCCAAGTTGTTGATGGAAAGAAGCCAATCATGAGCAAGTGACAGGTAAGGTCTTCAAAACGATTCCTTCTGTCTATACAATAGCTGGTCTGATTCATTTTACGTACTTTGATTATTATCATTATATGGGTTCCTTAAAGACTCATTGCTAACGCTGGGCCTTGCTAACGTGGCGACGATCCAAACAATGGCAGTAAATTGTCTTCAATGGCAGTAAATTGATTTCAGACTGTCTAAAAATGCACTATGGGATGCTTGCGTAGCGCAATGGCTCATTGTTAGCAATGAGTCTTTAAGAAACGCCTTAAAAATATCAGTTTGACACGCAGTCGTTCTTTGCAACCTCTCAAAATATTCTAAGATGAAAATAAAGCTCTCTAAATAATCTCAAATGAAAATAAAACTCTCTAAATATTCCAAGATGAAACCATCAATTTACCTCTGATCTTGCCTATTCCGTTGTATCGATGTTTCTCATCAGCAGTGATTCTGACATCATCAAGAATTTTGAGTTGCTTCAATGTGTCGACTGTAAGCCCTCGATAACTGGCAGCCAACTTTAAATCAAACAAAACACAAGTCAGTTCAGTGTAACGGCCATTACATGAGCAAGCATACTTAGATGCAATTCATTCATTAGCGTGGAAGATTCTAGTGTGTTGGCTTATAAAACTTGGCTTCACATAAACAGCCTATAGTTTGAGGAGTTATGTACATATCTGAAGACTGTCTTCAGCATCTAGTTGTACTTAGGGACACAGTCAATCTCCCGATTTATTGCAATTGGTGAATGACCGAAAAACTTCATTGATAACTTTAAGCCTTAACTGATAGTGTTACTTCTGTTTTTAACAATGAAAAGTTACAGAATGGCTCAGAAAAGCTTTGCCTCTGCTCTTTCCTGCTTTTTTCACAACATAAATAAGGAAAGTGAAAATAAATCTTAAAATTTGACGCAAGTTTTAAAAAATTAACTGGTCTTGGCCAACATTGTTTGTAGAGGGAGAAACTTTTGGCACCAACTTGCACTATTCCCATGAATGTGTGGGATCTTCTGCCTATCCAAAAAAACTTTCTCATGAAATTATTATCAAGTCTGGGAACAGTTCGCACCAGGCAGTACAAAACGCTCCCTTTTTATCACAAATCACAAGGGAGAAATTTTAGAATCACAGATGGCATCTGGTATTCTAGATGGACACCCGTATAAAGATTTTCTATTTAATAAGGAATCATTTTTAAAGGTCGTGGGAGGTAATTGCTTTCCCAAACGGGTGTACATTCTATAAACCGCATTAAGAAACATTTCCAGAATCAAAATCTCAGAGCTGTGGAAATTATGCAAATGTTTTTGAGAAAACAGAATTAGGGAACGGTATTTTAAGAAATTAGCCTAAGGGAAAGATAAAAAACATATCATCAAAAACTTCTCACATAGGTGTAAGGAGGCGAGGAATTTTAGAACGAACTCTAGAAAATAGTGATGAGGGCAACAAATTCTATTTTACCTGGGGAAGTCGTAAAAATCATGGAAAAAGCAGCTAATTGTGAAAATTCTCCCAAACCGTAAATATAGCTCGAGCTTCCACAAGGTGGAAAAATTGGTAGGAAGATTCCTTTCCCAGTCTAAAGTATTTCCTTTAACCAACACAAATAAAGCAATTACTAGACAATGTTGACAATGCTTTCTACTCACACATAAAGGATTGCCAATCAGTAACAGGTTGCTGAGCTTGGGCAGATGTTTTAATGCTTCCAAAGTCTCCTTCAGGTTCGCCAAAGAGTTAAATGAAAAGTCAAGTGATAGCATGCTCCTCCTGCAAGACAAAATAGTTTTTGAAGCACCCTTATGCAATTAAACAAACCTGCATTGTTTTTTGCTTCAATAAAGCATCCAGTTTACGGCTAACTGCAAATTTTCAACTCATATTTGGCCTGCATTTCAAAACGAGAAGAAGGCTAATAACTTATCCTTAAAGCTTGTAGAAAATATATGATAATTTTTGGTGTCTACAAATGATTGGAGACTTGCATACGATATAAGTAAATTCATCAGGTGACAAAAGAGGATCGTTATGTAATATTATTTATGTGTGCAAATTCTGACTTTAAAGGGAATTCCTTAGGAATTTCTAAAAGCATCAAACCCCACTAGCCTTAGTTTTTTAGGTTTTTAACCTATGTTAGATTAAAACAGCTTTCTTTACTAATCACACTTTTGTTTATTTTAGTTCCGTCATTGCTCCAACCACGTGGCTGTAGGTCATTGCTCGAGCAAGAACCATACCTCAGGGGGGTAGGCTTTAAAACAAGAAAACAGATATATAACAAACAGATATATTTGGACAAAATCAAGGTCATGGAATTATAAATATGCCAAATTTTCAAAATATCATTTGGAAAAACTGTAGCCAGAGGAGGCAAGCTGTTGTCAAAATTTTCATTTGGGGGGCAAAGCCCCCCGTGCCCCCCTGCAGCTACGTGGCTGCATTGCTCTGTGGCAGATGGATTTCAAGTTTTACTTATGATGGGAAAATACACTAAACGGTATTCGATATGAGATTATCAGAGACTAGGAGAAATTGACTGACGATATGAACAGGAAAACTGCACAATCACCAGGAAGGTACACATAAGGAGCCAGGTTTCCCTCTTGCGGCCCTTTGGGTCACATGACTTACAAACAATTCATTTAGCAAAGGAAAAAGAGATAAATAATTACCAACACGATGGATGGAGCATCGCCGAAATATCTTGAAGTGAATTACAACCAACTCCAAGATGAACCAGCTTTGAAAGATTGCAGCAAAATTTTTCGATAGTTGATATATCATTGCCATACAACTCAAGTACCTTGAAGAAAAAAATAGTGGTTGGATAGCTATCTTATGAATATGACTAAAACTGTTGTATTTGAAGGTGTACAACATAGAATTAAATAGGCTGAATATTTGACTAACATTTTCTAAATGGGTTAAATAAACCCTTCGAAAATTGATCTTCAGGCAATCTGATTCCAGGGTGTCGGCACGTTAATAAAAAAAGATAACTCTCCCCAGGGCTCTCACCAGGTTTAGTGTCGTTGACGCTTCTCCCACAATGAAGTCATTATATCTATGTTTCGATTATCTTATGAATTGAAAATGTGCAACATAGCATTAAATAGGCTAAATATTTGACTAAATGGGTTAAATAAACCCTTCAAAAATTGATAATGGGATACTTGACCTTACACATGTTCCATTGTTGGGGTGCAAACTGTTGGTATTGGTATAATTGATTCATTACTCCTTGGTAGGGGCAGAGATTAATTTCTGGCGTAGTGCATCCCATTCATTCACAGTTCTTTAAAGGTTACCTAATGAATTGATAGGGCAGCAACCAATCTTTGGTACAGAAAGGGTTAAACAGACTTGTAAAAGGTTAGAGATGTTGATGAGGCAATTGAATTGTTAATTGGATTTTGTCAAGAAGATACAAAAAAGATTTGGCAGCACCATCTCAAATACAAGAGCAATACCATAAATCAAGGACGAATAATGAATTGTTTGTGAGGGTGAAAAAATCTAACATTCTTAGAGAGGACCAGAGCATTGGCAGACACCTGGGGGACATCGGGGGGTTTCTTAGATAGGGGACTTCTCCAATTCAATGGGAAAATACAGAAAGGCCAGGTAATTGAGATTCTTATAAAATGATCCAATTCACCAATAGGATTACCTCTAGGCTCTTTGGTATGTTCTTTAGATTAATGGTGTTTATCCTGTTGGCACTGAGTGATATCTCTTTGAGATTGGCAAACTTGAGCAAGCTCTCATCAATGGTGTTTATCTGAAAATATAAGCATGTTTCTAAAAAGCATTTATGACTCGATTAACACTGATAATTATTAAAAAGTGATGGTTCTTGTCACTAAACAGGTTTGACAGGTTTTGTAGATTTACAATAATTGAATAGATTTTAAGTAAAAAATAAAATGCTATATTTGCATCTGATAGAACTATATCTTACATTCATTCCAATCAATTGCAGCCTTGTAAAATATTTGAAAATATTATATCTTGTTATTTGACCAGGATTTGTGATAGCTAATTTTCTCAGTTCAATTATATCCTCACTCCAATCAGCACTCATTGAGAAGGGTTCAATTGATGAAACTTCAATCAAAGATTGGATTGATTCCCAATTTGCATTAGGATCTACAAAGTAAGAAAGGAGATGTGATTAAAAAAATCCCCTAATTATATTAGATACAGACAGCCTATTATTAAATAAACTAAAAAAATCAAATGAGCAACTGAAATCCAAAAATGCTTGCATTTACCTTTATTTGGGTTCAGCAGATCTGGAGAATCACATCTCCAAGTATTTCCACTCCTCTATGACAAAAATTAAATATAAAATAAAGAGAAAAAGTTGTAAGTAACACCTCACACATAAAAATAAACAACAAATTTACCTCATACTTACAAAACGAGCAATTTATAATCAATCTAGCAGATAAATACCATACAAAAGATCTATGGCATGTTGAGCATTCATAAGCAAACTTGTATGCTAAACAAAATCAAGCACTTTTGAGTCTGGAATAAATATCCCCTCCCCTGCTTATTAAATCTTTCTAAAATAATCCACTCATGACATCCTAATTTCACACCATCCATTTATTATTTTAAAGCTTTGTCTTTTAAAAAATTTCAAAATAAATACACAGAGCTTGTTGAAGGGAAAAGAAACACATCAAGAACTGGAAGTTAGAGTAAAACATCTTTAAGAGCTTAAAGTCTTCATTATACTTTAATATAAGTAATAAATATATTTTCTTCTACTTTAAGAAACCAGTATCATATCTATAATCCTTCTGTTTCCGATTCAAAAGGACAGCTCCAGCTACACACCCCATTCATTATAATTTGGGAAATTCTCTGCCTATGCCCTTCATTGCAGATCCCCTATCTATTCCAGAGTCAACAGTAGTTGTTCCACTTAAAGCCAAATCTTTGGTTGCAGGAACAAAGCTTAAGGTAAAGGTATCTGCATTAAAGATCTGGATACTTGAGTTAAATTATTTCCCATAAACATCAAGTTTGTGACAAATTGTAATCTAATACGAATAGAAAACAAGAAGGACATCTTTAGCAATTGTGATGCAAAAACCATCTTCAACATACCCAGTTCCCATTCCCACAAGGAAAGTCATCAATACATAAGCCCTTCAACTTGTAATCAAATGCTTCACCAAATGTTAAGGCAGGAACCTCAGACATTGTTTGGTTGATTGATAACTGCTGTTGTTCAAAACTTTTTTGAATTGCTCAGGGAAGTGTGTTTGTGGTAAAACTTCAAAGGTGATAAAGTTTTCCTTCTTTTCACCATTTCTTTGGGAATCTGAAAAAACCAGAAAATCTTGAATAACATACAAAAAAGCAGAACAAATTTTTGAAATTTTTGTCATACCAACACTTCTCAACATTGAACAGAAATCAATTGTTATATCATACAGGGAAGCAAGCCAAAGAAAATTACACAAGAAAATATATAAGACAGGGATGTAAACTAACTTTAAGATACATCACTACCATTGTAAAGAAAACCCGAAAATTCTTACCAATCAGAATTGCTTAGCTGCAAGGCTAACGGGGTTGGAAGGGGGGGCTCTGACAGAGTAGAAGGCTAAGTTTGCCAATTTGGTCCAACAGTAAACAAAGAATCCAATTTGGGCCACCACTGTTGGTTTGTTTTACTTCCCTATTCCCTTCATCAAAAAAGTTTGCTTGAGCTTGCTTGCACATGTATTAATTGAATCTTTCTTGAATTTAGGTACCATCGATCTTCGCACCATCCAAATTTTGCTCGCCAAATTTTAAGACACAAACAGTTCACCAAATAATCTTTGCACCGGTTTATCTGTTCACAGTCACTCTGTTACATACTGGGTGGTGTCACGCTAAGATCTTTGAGATATACTTTGCAGAGAAATGCAATAAAACTTTTGTGCCACTGATCTAAATTGTAAGCTGCAGCCCTCAGGACCCTATTTTATTTAGGTATGTTTTGCTTTTTCAGACAAGGATTTTTGGACTGGCGAGCGACGTTACGATCTGCACTGCTATTTGCTACGATGATCATTATTATTTGATAACCAATGTCAATGCGCAGAGTTTCAGATTCAAATTAAATTAAATGGAAGTTGAAAGTTGAAAGAAACAGGAATTCTCACCTCAATAAATACTCGTGGATGTTGTTCACTTGTAACAATCTAAATTGGGTGCCATGGTAATGGAAGCCATTGTGACCTTGGCCTCAGTCTCGCCACGAGGACAAATCAACATGACCGACAGTGTTTTTGTCAATGAGCAATGAGGTTATTGGTTTCTGTGACCACCGCACCGCACCGCAGTATATAGTAATGTTGCCTTAAAAACACTTTCTGAACGGTGCTAGCATGAATCGAATTATTAGAAACATAGCTACAATGCAGAAAATCCCAGCAGTTATGAGTACAAAGCTCCTACACGAGCATATGAAGGCACAAGATTTTGCGCAAAACTTCCGAATACTTAATGCAACATGGGATCTTCCGAGTGCAGGGAGAAACCCTGCTAAAGAGCACATCGATGCCAGGATACCAGGATCGGTGTTTTTCGACATTGATTACTGTAGCGAGAAAAGTACTAGTCTTCCCCATATGCTTCCTACTGCTGAGCAATTTCAAGATTACGTTTCTGACCTCGGGGTTACCAACAGTCACCATATAATTTTATATGACAACCACCCAAAATTCGGTTTGTTTTCAGCACCGAGAGTTTCGCCACACTATATTAAAAGTCCTTTTCTAAGAGTTAGGGCTCGTGCTATAGATGTAATAATTTATGAATTTGAAAATCATTGATCTTGATTCAAATTTTTCCAGAGCACTTAGAATTGCATGTGATAATCAAATGTTTCAACTTTCTTGTTTGGAGAGCTGTTTATTGTGCTTAAGTGATTTATTTTCCCCAATCATTTTAGGAAAGAAGTCTGGATTCATTGCAGAGTTTCACCCTGAAATGGTTAAGGGTTTTGAAAGAATAAAAGAGATTGTTGAGGCAAAGAATGCTTACCAAATTGTTGATGCAAGACCAAATGGCAGATTTCATGGAACATCTCCAGAACCCAGACCAGAGATTCCTAGTGGTCATATGCCTGGGTCGCTTAGTGTTCCTTTCATGGAATGCCTAAATGAGTCTCGAGAGCTCAAGTCAGCTAATGAAATCCAAAGTTTGTTTAAGGAAAAGGGTGTTGATTTAGGCAGAGACATGATTGCATCTTGTGGCTCTGGAGTTTCTGCATGTATTCTTGCACTATCTGTTTATGTTTCTTCAAACAAAGAGATCCCAGTCTATGATGGTTCTTGGACAGAATGGGCAACTAGGATACCAGCCTTGATAGAAAAAGATTGATCTTTCTTGATCATGAATTCAGTAACAATAATATGTTTCAAACAGAACAAATCAAAATTGACATAGGCTGGTAAACTCTTAACAAAAACAAGAACCTATATAAATCTTGTTTCTAATTTTTGATTAAATTATTTTGGAAGTTTTCAGCCAGGATTATAGTGAATGTAAGTGGAAAATGATTGTAAGCATGGGTAAATAATAGTTTTGCATGTAATGATAAATTGAAGGAGTTGATTGGTGGCTAAGATTTTTCTATGATCTCCAGTGCTGAATACAAAATGTGTTTTTGTTTGCATTTCAAACTCACAAAATACCTTACTTCAATTGTAAATAGCATTACAGTTCTTTCCCTTTGTAAAACATTGAAAACAACTTGCCAATGCAAGGTTTACAAGTACACAGTATATTAAAGTAAGGTAGTACACAGTATCAATCAAAAGAAACTCAATTCCAGAAGAACTACTTTATATTATAGATGGTCATCTACAGTGAGCTCCAGATGAAAAGCTACCTATAATTATATACATACAACGTGCTGCAGTGAATTTACATCAGTTCTTAAAAGCCTACGCTGTGTTTCAGTCATCTGATTAAAATAATGAAAATACAGAATATCCTATATTATCTGAATGGGGTAGATGAGGACATACATGTACTAAGTCACATAAACTACACAAAAGCTAGCAATCACTTTGAAATCACTGTTGAATGCTCATTGCACTTTACTGGCCATTATTTGTAAATGCAATGTGCTATTTTGATAAGACATGCTTAATTACTAGCTTGGAACAACATACAAAATGACTTAGGTCTAGATTAAACGGGGGGGGGATCTTCATCTGAAACCAAAATAATGACTTGGCACAAGCTTTATGGAACATGAAATGATGATAATGATCAATTAGAAATCCAATATCAGAAAAATTATACCAGGGGACAGGGTCTCATCTGCTTAGCTTAGAGCCCCAAATTCCCTAAGTATGGCAGAAGTTCAGCCAGTCTGTCTTATGTTCAATCTGCTGAAATAGCAAAAACTTCATCACATTTTTCTTTGGTTTTCAACATTTGGTTACCTAAGTACTTAAATAACATTGGATCAATTTTGATGAAGCTCTATCCCATCACTGCTAGGCAGTCACTCCCCACTGCAGACAAGTTTTGAATTTGTTGTAAGATCCCCACCGCAGACAAGTTTTGAATTTGTTGTAAGATCAAACAAAAATCTTAAAGCAAAAAGTTTTACAAAAATTAATAGAATACAATAAAGCACCTCTATCTTTTTGATACTATGCATTAGTAACTACAACAGAAATATGATGAGCTGAGAAACTCATCTTTTCCTACTATTTACAGTAAAGACTGTAACTATCACACTGAGGGAAAAGATAGCTACAAGATGCAAAATATTTCTCTAAAAGGTCAAGACAAACATAGTAGATATATTGTCTTGAAACTTCTATTATAGAACAATAGGACAAGATACATGTGTAGTGTCAATAATAAAAAGCAATCTAAATCTGAATAAACAGAAACTCCAAAAATAGAACTCTATAAGTTGTGTCTTGATTATGAATGCAACTCTTGTGACCAAAATAATGATGTGATCTGACTTGTTTTTCAAATTCCCACTTGTTGATATAAAAAAATTATGTAGTCCTGAGCAATGTAAACAAAATTCAAGCTAATACAGCATATATGAAGTTGCTCTTGAATTTAATGTCTCAAAATCCTGGTACTTGAAGATGGACAAGCTTCTAGCATAAAAATAAACTTGAAATTTTTACCTAAGGGATATCGTCTACTACTTAAAAAAAAACTCTGAAGAAGCTATCCCTTTCAGTTACTGAGAGTCAACTTGCTTCGACATATGAGTTTAAATTCATCTGTGTCTCAGATAAAATAAGAGAAACATGACAAGAAAATGACCAGTACCAGAAACAGCCTGATAAGCTGAACCGGTTCAATGGTGGTGAATTACCTGCACTAGGGTTCACCTACCCCCATCACAATCAGTTGGCTTGATAATCCTTGGTCCGAGTATAATGATTTCTGGGGAAATAGGCCAAGGGAGATATTAAAGCTCGGCCTACAAATCTCTAAAAACTAAAACTGTGAGGCTATTTTCTAAAAACTAAAAGAAAATTGTAATGCCATATGACACAAAATATAACTGCCTATTTCTATTGTCACAACAGTTTCTAGGGGGTCTTCAAGTAAAAATCAATATTAAAAAGCCTTAAAAATCTAAAATTGGCATTTGCTACATTACAACTACCTGTGTGATAAGGTGTGAGATTGTGCATGCAGCAGAATCAGCACAGAACAAATGCTGCAACTGCTGCACATATCAGTCCATGGAGGACTATCATGGTACTCAAATAAACTGGAAGCAGGAGATAGCATAACAAGTTAATCATGATCTTCACCTTCTTCTGTTGATTCCACTGGTTCCGTTTTGAACTGCTCATTCAAGTGCTCATTTAACATCAAGTAAACTGGCATACCTGAAACAAGGGTATTCTCATTAACTTCTCCTTCGTTCTCAGGTGATGCACGCTGTTGTTGCTGTTGTTGTAGATGTTGTGGCTGCTGATGATGGTGTGACGGTGCTGGCAACTGCTGATGGACACCAGCTGTGCTCCAAAGGCTGAGATAGGCTCTTGAAAAATATACAAACTCCTCAATATGCTTTTGACAAATCCATTGTATTCCTGGTTGAGTTGTTTTTGTTCGATGATAAGCAAATAGCTGTTTTGTTTTGCTCCAATCTACAGGCCCATTCCGACCTTTTTGTTCCCTCATCAAAGCAGAGCGGAGACCTTGTGTCTCTCCACAAACCATACATTTGTACCGGCTGCTGAATAGAACAAAATGATGGTTGATATTTCCAAAAAAATAGGAAAGCCAGTCACTATTATTAAATACCATTAGAATTCAAAAAATGTACACTTCCTGGGACATACTAATTAAATGAGGCAAGAATCTAGATGATATTATGTTGGTTATTCAAATTTATAAATTCACCTGTGTTGAGATACCTCTCCTTCTGCCATGGAGGCATCTGTTCCTTCTTCCTCACTATTAGCACGGTTCATGTATCCACTTTGCTGCATGTGCACTGCTACTGCACGCTCCCCATCAGGTGTGTCCATCTTCATTAATTTTGGTGGGCGGGGTAGACTACTGCCATCATGGTTAGCAGCATGGGCATCTGCAACCTGAACAGCCTCTTGAACTGCCATTGTTGGCAGTGGACTCACTGTTCGGATATTGGCCATTGTAGTTACAGGTGAACCAAGCTCCTGACTGCTTTGGTACTGTAGCAGAAGTCGCTCATGGTGGCTCTTAAAATGTGCCAGCAAGCGACTGTCAAACTAGGGAAAAATTTCAAAGGAATTTTAGGTCAAAGATGTAATAAAATTTGAGGTTAAATCAATCCAAAGATAAACACCAACAAACTTTTAAATATTTTAGAGAAACTTCTAACAAGGAAATAAGTTGGTTTTAATGACGATTTTAAAATACTGAAGAATTGACACATGAAAAATGGGGGTTTCAATGGTATAAAAACTATTAAGTATTAAACAAGATTCAAAGAGTAGTATTAAAAAAAGATTCACAGAATTTCCAATAAACCTTCAAAAAGTACCATGAATGTAATGACATGGTTCAAAAAGGGAACTTGAACAAAAACAAAGCAAGTATGCAAAACGAAGTATTTAACACAATGTTAAAAAATTGGAATGTTTCTCTTGTGAAAAAAGTCACAAAATATAAAATATCAAAAGAAAGCTGCAAATTGTGATCACAACAACTCATTAAAACATGTTAACTATGTTTCAGTTTCCTTAATGTATCTCTACTCAAAGATTGCAAGATAGAGAAAGCAAAATTGATGGGTATTAAAAGCAAGTACCTTTTGAGTTTTCCATTCACAATGTTTGCAGTGGATATGTCTAATGCCTTGTTGAGCATACTTGCACATATCGGGACAGAATTTATTAAATATTGTGAACTGTGTTTCTTTGATTTGATAGTATTCTTCCTGTCTTTGGTTAGTTTCAGCATCATAAGGTGCTTCACTATGCGCCTTTAGATGTTTTCGGACCCTTCCCATCTAGACCAAATAGCACAAAGAAAATGTGAGCTGCACACTTGTCCTCTGCAGCTTCAGGTGGCCTTGTGCAAAACTAGGCACATCTGAGTGATTATTAGCAGCCACTATTAAAACTGATTGATAACTTTTATCTGGGCAATTTACCTTCACAATTTTTTTAAGTTGGGGCAAAAAAATAATTGGAGAAAACGCATATAGAAAATATTTTGTCATGGCTGCTAATGCATCACCCAGCTCTTATAAACAGAAAACCACACTGTTGCTGCAACTCCACTTTATATCAAAAATGGTTTTCAAGAGAGCACACAAGGATACATTTTCATAAAAATTTTGAACCACTATTCCCCCAGATTGCCAAAAACTTCTTAGAAATCTAATGGTAGCTTGCAAGTTACAGCAACAATGTGGCTTTTGTGTGACAGATAAACTTTTGAATTGTTTTGCTTTTGCAATTTGCTGTTTTGCCTTTGCAGCAGCAAACATAATTTGTTTGTTGTAAAGTCAAACACAAAATCTTATCACTACCTTTTTTGTTCTCCAATCACAATGTTTACAGTGTAAGTGTCTCACTCCTTGCTCACTATATTTGCACTGTTCTGGGCATTCTTTCCCACCAAAAATGAAGAAATGTTCAGCTTTGACTTTTTGGTATTCATCCAGGTCATTTGAATTATCAGTACCATGGTCATGCCTTTGTATGTGCCTTCGAATTCTCTCAGTCTAGATTAAGAAGGGGATCATGCAGCAAATGCTGATAGGGAAATTTTATGAGATGTATCCTTGCATACACTCCAGACCATGTTTATAATCATATTGAAATAAGAGGTAGCAAAATGGCTATAGAATGCCTTGAATTTTCAGGTACATGAGCATCAAGTATGTCAAGAAACTCGACCATCAAGATGGTATACCATTAAGAAAAGGCGTGGAAACCAATTTACCAAAATACATTAGAACATGACTTATTAAATACCCATTTAACTGCTCCTGAAAGTGAAATAGTACTATAGCTTTACTAATTATTATAGTTTCAAAACTTAATAATGTAATATGCAAAACAGATTTGATATATTTCAAAAGAAGAAAAAGCTAATTCATTGGTTCTTATATTTAGTCAGTCTTCTTCATATAGTACAATTCACAGAATAAACATAACAGTAATCTACTTCAGTCATTTCTAATACACAACTAAATAAGCTATATTAAAGGTAATGTGTCCATATAAAAGGACTGCATACACCAAACTTGTCAAGTAACATCAAAATAATGGCTTGCGATTGGTCTGAATTCTTGCGATGCAAAACTGCTCACATAAAAAGCAAGCGTCACAGCAGGGTAAATAAACTGTACTTGCTGGGCGATGATATGAAAAATCACATGTTTCTGAAAAGCCCCACAGAGTTGCTTGCTTTAGCTGGACACATTACCTTTAATAAATAAATAATTTCTTTGCATAATTTCCTGTGTAGGTAATGTTGCCTTCAGCCACTCTTACAGAAGCTTTTTGATGATCATCAACCTAACAACATGTACATATAAAACTTGATACCAAAATGTATATATTGCATACCTTATTTGTATGAAAGCTGGAACAAATAAGACAATGGAAATGGGTAGAGAGCCCTGCCCAAGTACACTCTGGATAAGGACATGACTCATTCCTTTTGATTCTGTGAAATCTTTCTGCTCCAGGGCTGGATGGGCTTGATGCAACAACAAAAGACGGGCTTCCTTGGCCAGGGGATTCTATGGACAAAGTTAAAAGCATGATAAGAAATACAAAAGTAACTTGTTCTGCTTATAATGCAAATTTTTGCTTCTTGCCTTGATCACTTCTAGGCCACATATAAAAAGTCACAGATTAATTGTTTCATTGAAGATTAAAAATTCACGAAAAAAGTTTTGAGGAACATGAGCAACATTTGCAAAACATAATATAACATAGAACAGGTTCTTAGTGTTGCAACAAATGTAGTTCAAGATTTATTGTAAAAGCAACTTAATTGAAAAGGAATTAGAAAAACTTTATTCAGTTGATAAAATTTAATAACACAAGATAATTTGAGATATCGTTTCTTAATAAAAGTTGGCGTTAACATTAATCTCTGCAGATATTTCAACGGATTGACTCGAAGAAAAATATCAAGAATTTATCATTCATAAAAATCATTCTTTTGTAATCGATCTGATATATATCAATCTAAAATATATGCCGAACTTCAGTTACATGTGGTTCTATTATCACCGGGAATTTCTTCAAAAAAGATTGCTGTACGCAAACAGTGCGAGATTCTAATTCATTTACTATGGCGACTGTCCAATCTCACTTTTTACTAAAAAGAAGTGGCAACAATGTGACTGGTATAACACTTGTACACTAAGTAATTAATATTTCAATTGTTTATAAACAATACCCAGTGGGTGGTCTAAAAATAGCAACGTTTGAATGGTAAACTCGTTATTGGTACTGTGCCCGGCCTAAATTTGAAACCACTGTTGCAAATATCGACAAATAACGACAAGAACCAAGTGATTACCTCTAACTCTAGCAATGACGGGTGACACAAACTGTCCTGGGCTCGGACTTTGCAATGGCAGTCTTTCTTTAGAGTCTGGCGGGGACCTGCTTGTGTGCTGAGTGAGACTGGGTGACTGAGCCTGCGATGTTGTTATCGGTGTTGTTTTTTGGTTTCTGTCTGCAGAAAAAAGACAAAAATGTCCTTTTTAGGATTTCAGATAACAATATAAACAAATCAGAAACTTTTTAAATAAGATTATTACTACTTCGGGAAAGAAATTCAGTCTAAGACAGCAATAAAATTACCTGGGGCTGAACTGCCTGTTCTTTGTAGCAAGGGCTTCCTCCATTCTTCGACCGCCCCGAGGACTTCTTTTCTCAGTCCCAGGGATGCAATGCCGATCTCTTTCAAATCATCATCGGTGACAATCATCAAACTTCTGCATGTTCTGAAACCATTTTCGATAAACAAATCTTTTAGGTCTACAAGACTGAAACGCTGGAAAAAGTTATCAAAAGCGAGTTCGTCGTACTGTCGCCTTACATCTTTCCCTGCTTCAGCCATGTTTGCGACGTGGTCCTTGGTATTCGACCCGCGCGCGCATAGCATCTACGCACCGCCGCCCTGAGATGTCAGGGCGCGGTACTGTGAAGGCGGGGCGTCCTTTCCCTAAACGTATTTCATTGGTCAATGAATAACCGCGGATTTACATATTAAAGCGAGGACAATAGAACCTGTTGGGAGGAATATCCCGTTCAGCTCACCCCCCGTTGAGATATGGGCAGATGACCTGATAGCCTTCAATCGTGAAAAGGAACAGGATGACCCTTCATACCATTCCTGGCAGGCGCTATTCGCCTGCGCAGTTTCAGCTCTTGCTTCTATTTCAATAGCTGGAAAACAATTCACCAAAAAACTACGAATGTAGTAACCATATTAATCTGGCGTGGAACCTTACTCCCCCGAACTTTTCTGCTTTTGAATCATCATTTTGAAGATAAGCCTTTGTTTCCTTCATGAAATTATATTCGAGGCTCCAATTTAAACTAAATTTTAGGTCTGACCCTTATGGCGAGTAGATGGGATAGCCCCTAGAAAAAGCTGATGCCCTTAGAAAATAAAGAAAATTGTCCATGATTGTTTTGACGGCATGGCTTTAGCTGTTAGATCACTGCTACAAGCCAAGTAAATTGGAGCATATTACAGATTGAGGGGGCTAAAACATTTGGGAGGGGGCTAACATGCTAAGAACAAAGAGCAAGGCAATTTTTTGTATGGTTTTACAAAATGTATAAAGAGCAAGGCAATGTGTAAGTACATTTTTGGAATTTTTTTGGAGGTGGAGGGGGGGGGGCTAAAGCCCACTCAGCCTCCGCGGTCCCTGCTACAAGCACTTCAAGGATCAGTTTAAAATGTCTTTTTCAGTCCATTTATTGAGAAACAATTTGAAGCTCACAGGTTGAGTACCTAATATTAGCGTCCTTTTATTCTACAAATCGGGAATTTATTCTTTTGTATGGAGTAAGACAGGAAATTAGTAAGATATATATAGTTTACTTATAATTTCGGTTTCTTCTACCATTAAAGCAGGGGAGATATCTTAAAAAAAAATTAACAAGGGGAGCTCCAGGAGCGTTGTCATAAGAAAGAGTATGGTTTCAATTAAGAAAAATGAAGAACAATTTTAATAAGGGGGATCCACGCCCTGCGCCCTCATAAAGTCGCCACTGCATTAAAGCATCAAAGCACCTAGGAGCTTCCAAACCACAAGGCATCTTTCCCTTTGCCTTTTCCAAACGCCCTGTTTCTTGGAAACCCCCGTATTCAAACTTGTGGAGAGATGTCCTTTGCTAGAAGAACTCTTAGAATAAAATTTTGGAAGTTTTCTTTGTGAGACATGAAGTTCTTGGGTTGGAGCTGGGGACATTTCGTCTGACGTCACTGTCTGCAACCCAAGTAGGTATGCAGTGGCGTGCTGCTGGAGATGAGATCGCAGGGGGGCAAAGGATCAAAATGGCGCCCCACATATCTTCCAATTTTCCTTCAAAGTATTGGAAATGTGCAGAAAAGTACAAGAGTTCGAAAGCACGCTGATCTATATCTACCTATTTGTGGCGTACTGTAAGACTTTAAAATGATGGGAGAGCGGGTAGTCAATTACTAACAGGACGTGATAGAGAAATTTCGAATTAAGTATGTAATTCTTAGTAAAACTTGACAGCAATTTTGAGTATCGTTGTAGCGGCTGTATCATCAAACTACACAACAATGATGATCAGGAACGTCACTATTGAGAGGGAGGATGGGGGTAGGGAGGGGGTGGTAGTATAGTGTAGGAATTCATACCCTGGGTACCAGAGCCGCAAAAATTAAAAAATAATGTTAAAAAATGACGAGAGCTGCGCCTCCGCGTTTAGTGAACCTCGTTTAGGTCGACCTCGTTTGTCAATTTCAAATGAAACATTGGAGGAATTGCGTGGTATGAATTTTTCCTGGAGCAAAATTGCATTAATGTTTGGAGTATCTATGTGGACGATATCCCCAGCATCAATATGGTGGATCCTCGAAATGCTCTGAGGTGGGGTGCCTTGGTGTCACGGAGAACATATAGTGTTCCTTGGCCAAATTCATTATGGCATTTAGATGGACATCATTCTTTAATTAGATGGAATTTAGTGATACATGGCTGCATCGATGGAAAGTTGAGAAAAATTACATTCTTGAAATGCAGCACAAACAATTTTGCAAGCACTGTTTTGTCGCATTTTTAAGAGGGATAGATGAAAATTGGGGACTATGGCCATCAAGGATTCGTGTTGATTATGGTATAGAAAATGTGAGTGTTTGTGATGCCATGGTTGTCAAGCGAGGTTACAAAACAGAAGCAGTTTTATAGCTGGGTCTTCTACAAGAAAGCAAAGAATAGAAAGACTGCGGAGGGATGTTTTCCGGTGTGTAGAGCAAGACGTGCTCTCCCCAGTCTTTTCATATTAAAAATACTTTATGCACTGAAAAAACTTTAACATTGAATAACTTTTTGAATTGAATGCATTTTATTGAATTGAATACAAATTTTTGTATTTACTATAGGTTTTACATTAAATCTTCCTTCAAATGAAGAATTTTACAATTAAAACAAGTATTGAATCGGGGTATTGAATCGGGTATTGCCTTCATGAGACCTTCAAACCCTTTCGATCTATATATCGGAACAAGCCCAGGGAATAACTTCAAAGTCCGAGGCGGCACCTTGGTTGCCGCCGGAGGGGAAAAACTTTTTGATGCTTCCAGTTTGCTGGAAAATGCACTTTTTAAAGCAAGCTTTCTCTTCAATGAATATCCACAGGCTGAAAGCTATTTGATGGTTTAAATCGATTTTCTGGTGTCGTTGTTAAATATTTCAGTTTATGTAACACAACTTTCTTCTGATTGGGACATAATCTCTCAGCTTTTTCTTCCTAGCATTTCTTATCATTAAAACTCCTTGCACCCTCTCAATATTTTTATGAAATGGCGCCTAATCTGAACTTTTACCGCCAAGCCAAAAAATTTTGACGGGTTCCTCAGAAACACCCCCATACCCTACCTCGGTACGCCCATTGTGCAAAAAGCATTTAGATTTAGCGTGAGATCATGAGATGGTATTTAACAATCGTTGTAAAGTGCATCAGAATAAGTAAGAAAAAAGAAGTGGTATGTTGTAAGGTGATTCTTGTTCTCTTCGAAGCGATTTGTCGTAGATTGTTGTCAAGTGTTTGCCTTTAGTATTGTTGTGTTCTTCTATGTAAATTTTCCTTGTTCGGTAGCTATTTGGCTAGGGCACCTTCGGCGCCCCTATAACGTGAGAATTTATTTTGGCGCCCTTGATATTTGATCGGCAGGGGGGCAGTTGCACTCTTGCCCCCTGCCAGCACGCCACTGTAGGTATGCTTTGCGGAAAGGTGCAATAATCATTAACTCACGAACATTACATCTATCAAAAGATTTGAGGGAAATGTTGGCTCTACTACTACAGTATAATCCGGTTTTAACGTACTTTAAGGGACCAGCGTATTAAGTACGTTATATCCGAAGTACGTTGTAACGAGGGTAAGTAAAAGTTGACTAAAACCAAGCACACCTTTTGCAGGGACCAAGCACACCAGTAAGTTATATCCGAAAGTACGTAATAACCGAGTACGTTATAAGGGGATTCTACTGTATAAAAACTACTAAGATTCCTTAGATTTTATAACAAAAATTTGTGTAAACAGCTTCTTATATCAACATCTAGTATGTTGGCGACCAGTTTTAAAAATTTTGCACCAGATATTTAAACAATTGAAATCTTTTACTATTTTAAATCCACAAACTAGCTCCCTAGGACTTTGAATATGGGAAGCTTTTGGATGGGGGTTAATTTGAGGGGGCTTATACGATGAGGGCCACAAAGAAGAAACTCGTAGCTTTCTAAGCATTACTGACACGACGAGTTAATAAACAATGATGACACTTGTTGTAACAGACACTTACAAGCTACTGACAAATGGTAATAACGGACAATTGTAAAAAAACGGACACCGTTCTACAAAGAAAAGTAACCTTTATCCTACATATGTTCCTTTTAGTGGAAGACTGTCTGCATCACTAGCGCGTTACATAATTTCTCCTTTACGGTCAAATAAACTGAGGGTGTGGCAAACCAAGCTGTATTGAAAAACCCGCCGCAGAAAACAGACCCCAAAACCCAACACACCAATTTTTCACTTGAAATGCATTTATTAGCGGTAATGAAGTATTCTGTGAAGCCACAGACTTTTAAGACATTATTTAACATATCTTGAGGGCGGTAATTCTGGAGAAATGCTGTGTTCAATTCGATAGAAATAAAAAACACTTCTTAAAAGCAGTTTGATCCATGAGCTGCTTCTGTTTTAACAAACATTTCGTATGTGGAGAAGATTTTTTGAGAGGGTATGTGAGGTAATAGAAATGGTAGGGGCAAATATTGTGTGAGAGGTAAGGAATGTTATACACCCGCCCCTGCCAATGGTTAAGACTTTCTCACTCACTTTGTTGGCAAATGAGGCATGTACGTCACCCTAGAGCGAAAAAGCTAGCACTCGCACTGCTGACACCCTATTAGATTAAGAACAAATTAAGAACAATCCAGCCTCAGATTTTCGAAAAAATAAAGAACAGTCAGTCCGAACTTAAATTTACTGGATCTTATAAAAAAAGAGTGTACAATGCCAAATATTTTCAGGTAAACATTCTGCAAAGGGTGTACAGAAAATCACTGACATTTTCCCTGCAGTTACGACCTTTCAAGATATTATAGTTGCTTTTCTCAAAAATATAATTTAGTAAAGATTTATCAATCTATATTTCTTAAGTGCGGTAGAAATTCGAATATACGGCTTGAAAACATTGTGCAACGATAAGTGTGCATGTTCGCAAGAGGAGATATCTTTCAAAGTTACTTTTCTGTTAAGATAAGTTCTGGTGCCTTCGCAACCCACTCACTCCAACCTGCATCGTAAAGCGCCGTCTCATGACCATTGCCACCTAAAAACGCGATAAACGCCAACAACGAGGCAGCCACACCCGAGCCTCCGTCTAAAGACATTGTTGGACAGTCTAAATCGATACCAAGTTTCTTCATCAAGGACCTTATCTCTTCTGGGCTTTTGATTTTCCTGTTCCCTCTATCAAAGAATTGCATCGCCATGACGTTGACTTCATTCGGGAAGTGCCCACTTGGAATATTTGGGTCAGGGCCCTCTTCACTTCCAAGAAAACGGGGCTTGGGTCTTCCATCCATTACTTGATACTGACGTGACGTTATATTATTTTTGACAAAATCGAAATCTTTTACCAGTTCTTCTCTGTACCTTGGCTTGTATTCAGAGGTCGCAGCTACAAATTAAGAGGTTAATATTAAAGCCCCTTTTGAGAAATTAAAAGCAGCGCTTTAACCTAGGGACCGCAAAGCAAATGAAGGAGAACTAGAATGCTTCGAAGTAGCTGATAAAAGGTTAAAATGCTTCGGGGGAGGGGGCCTGAAGCCAAAGGCGAGATGATTCACTGTATGGCTTTAAGGACATTTTGGTTAATATTTACAGGCTAAACCCCCCTCAAGAGCCTCAGGCACTTCAACGGCCCCTGGTTTAATCATAAAACAAAAGGGTTGTGCAATCAAACTGCCAAACTACCCTTTACATGGCGAGACTTCGTCTAATTCAATAAATCGAATCTTTTAGGTTGAGACTTACAGTTTTAGTTTTAGGAGAATACAAAGCCTCTTTGACCGTTTTACGCTTTTGTTAGAGTAAGAATCATTCGAATTCAATTTAACATAAACTGTAACAAAAACAGATAATTCAGTTGTTTCGGCGGGATTGATCGCGGCTCTAGTTTTGAGAAAAAATCAAAATGAAGAGAAATCCTGCCAGAATTACAGCCTGAATCCATTGGCTGGGGCTAATGATGCTCTTTGAAGAAGCTGAGCCACAGAGAAGAAAAGGGACGATTAACAAGGGAGGATTAGAGGGCTGAGCCCCCTTGTTAATGCCAAAAATTGGCAAATTTCTACTTTTGCTATTGTATTTAACAATATTTTGTGTATAAGCCCCCTTATGTTATTTTGATAGCACTACACCACTGATTAAATAACGTTCGGAGAGAACCACAACAGTGTGGTTTGAAAATGCCTCAACTCCAAACCTGCTGAGTCTTATTTATTTCAACGGCAAGGTAACTATTTGCAAGTAGCAAAAAAATTGATTTAAAGTTTTCACCAAGGCAAAATAATTTTAAGGTTAAAATCATATTTTAGTATGAATTTTTACATTCTGTCAAAATCACTCTAATGTTGCCATGTTCTGGTTCCAGAAGATAATCTGTAAGGAATCCTTCTGGAAAAACTACAGAAAACTAATTAATTTTGGGGAAAATAACCTGAAAAATATCTTTCAAGCTGGCTAGCAAACAATGCAACATCATGTATAATTAGAAACAGCTGAATACTTGAGGCAGAAAGAACTTCTTCCAAATTCAAAATCAGGTAACACAAACTTTAATCACAGTAAAACCCAATAAATTACAGGGTCAAGAGGGCCCTGGCCCCCCTTTTTTGCAAAACAATAGAGCTTTTTGAAAACTCTTTTGTCTTATTTGTTAAAATTTCCCTTGGCCCCCCTTTCCAGCCTGCGTTGGAGCCATGAATTAGCATTACCTGGATACTCTTCTTCTTTATTATAATCCCCTGAAGCAATCTCGTACCCTTCCTTTATCCAAGATGGCAAACCACCTTCTAACACAGAAACCTTAGCATGGCCAAAGACGTGGAACATCCACCAGGCTCTTGCAGCTGAGAAGACCACAAAATTGTCATGATTGTCATATAGCACCACATGGTGATGGTTCTCGATCCCAGCTAGTTTTTGTATATACTTTGCAAATTCTTCAGGTTTTGGGAGCATCATAAGAAGGTCAGTGTTTTTGTCTCTACACTCTGCAAGGCTGAAAATTCACCAATAAAAATATATTAGCAATAATTAAAAGACAAAAATCGAGCTACAAAATTAATACAAAAATTGGTAGTTTGATTTACATATAAAATGTTCTCTTCGTCTTTTTCCATGATATTAGATATAAAAATTCCTGGTAAAGTGTGAAATTTTGATAGGTATGTGATGATGCAATAACAATATTTTCAAGATTTGTAAAGTTAGGCCAAATAAAATATTCAAGACCTTAAACTAATAAATAAAAATGGCTACTACAAGCAAAAAGCTGCATGTGTACATGTTGGAAGTTGGACAAAATATAGTCAGGAACATCAGAGAAACCAAAGGCAAAAGAGTAGGCTTAGGAAAAAAGAAACTTTGAAAAATGATTATCACAGTTTTTGTAATTGGCATTGATGTGTCAAACTGATGTGTTGGAATATTCCTAAACAGGTTTTTCAAGTAGCATTGTCATTCAAACAACTGAAAAATTGATAGGAGAAGTCACTAAAACTGGAAAATCATGTAAACTTCTGAGCAAGTTGCTGTGAATTTTGTTTTGTCGACAAACATTTTGTTTGATTCTAAAGGGGGCTTATATTATTTAAGTATTTATGACATGAAGTTGTATTGCAAGGTATCCTGAAAACAATATGATAACCATTTAGAAATTGTGCAATAAATTTTAATGATAACATCAGTTAGCCACTTAGTTGATTAACTCCAAAAGGGGTTGATTGCTGCGTACAAGGAAGGTAATACCTGGTTGTGTACCATCGAATTAGACATGGAAAAGGCCAAAAAACTAAGCAAGTGTCCTTGTTTACTCCACCCCCACCTCATTTGGCAAAATATTTTCAAGTTTTGTCTTACCTGTGGACCATATCTTTTTGAAAAAAACATTATTTCTTTAGAAAAAAGCTTTAAAATTGTAAGTCGTCGAAAAGTGGGGGTATGCTCATAGCCCCCCTTGTGTCCGCCCTGAATACTAAGAAAGGCTTACCAAAAATGTGTTCAAGAACAATCGCGAAAAATGAAACGGTTGCTTTTTGGCAATTGTACAGCAGAGGCTGGAAGAATCTTGTAATCAGGGTCTAGAGACGGGTCTGACCCATTTTAATTGACGATGATGCAACTAGATTCTCGGATGCTATAAAAAGAGAAGGGCCTAACTTTCCGGCATGCCAGCATATACGTCAAATACCTACTCGAAAAACTTTGCTCCAGGAATCCGCTTCTCTCTGTGTTCCTTTATGAAGTCTCTTTTAAACATTGCCAAATGCCATGTTGCATCAAGGACTCTAAAATTCTGCTTGAAGCTGGGTTCGCCCATTCGTTCCTTCAGCCATCGCGCACTGACAAGGGCTTGGTCTTTGCCTGCCATTGTAGATGAATTCCTGGAACTACGAAATCCCCACCACGTAGAGAAAGAGCCGATTAATGAAGTGTTAAAACTTTTAGAACTTGGAGACCGGAACAGACCCAGCTCACTAGATACTGCTCTTATTTAAGTAGGCTAACCACAAAGTATCAACATTAAGAACAATCGATCACTATTTTGCACTCTGGGATGTATCTACAATCCTTGACAAACCTATCTATGTATCTACAGTCCTTGGAACACCCTGTGACCAATGAAAGATTTTGAAGAAATGAAGGTTTCCGGCTGTAAGATACAGAAATATCCCCCTCCCCCCCAAAACAATTGTAGTAGGACGCTCCCCAGATCACATGACCTTTTATAATCACGTGACAAGTATTATTTACTCCGAAGCTTTGTAAAGCGGAGTTCAGTTATCTTCGTATCCTCGTTCAGTTAAGTTATAAATCTTGAATGATTATCAAGATATGAAAATGTAAAGAGTGTGTTTCCTTGCTCTACCATCTCAATAATATAAATAGAAGCACCTCTCACATCTGGTGGATGACCCGTTTTGTCACGATCGCCGTCCCGTATGTCGCAAGAAGAAACTCTCGGACTTACCAATGGTTTGGCCGCTGTTGCTAAAGAACAAAATGCATCCAATAAGTCAAGAACCGAAGAATTGAAATCACTTGCCTCTGCCGTAAAAGATTTATCCGACCTTATAAATCTTCAGTCGCAAACTTCTCCTGGTCATGCTGCTCTTCGCCTGCCGAACCTTACACTGCCTGAATATACAGGAATTGAAGATCTTGACCGTTTTCTGGACCAGTTCAACCAGGTTCTCCGATCTTCTGGTGCAAATCCGCAGTTTTATCTAACGTACCTCAAGCAACAGTGCCGAAAGGATAGCCGTGCCTTCGATATTCTTTGCAATTATGAGAGCACCCATCTCGTCCGATTGCCTGCATCTCCGACCTCTGATGACTATTACCAGTTTTACAATGCTGCACTAATGGTTCTTCACTCCCAACGTGGAATTCCAAAAGACCAGCAAATTCGCAATCTCTTGGCCACGTATTATACCATGCGCCAACAACACCACGAAAGCGTCTCCAACTTCGCACACCGGTTTTGTGAGACCCAACATTCCTTGGAGAAACTAATTCCAGGTATTCACATGACAGCCGATGGAAATGAAATCGAGTTGATTCATGCCTTTGCCCTCAAACTACGTGAGGATATTTCGCGGGATCTTTTTGCTAGGGATTTCAACTATCCGACTTTAATGGCCCTGATTGAAGCTGCCAAACGATACGAGACCAAAACTACTTCAATCGCAGTTGACGAGCCTATTTCTACAGCCAATGCTTTACCCGTTACGCCTGTTCCTGCCTACCCAAGAAAAGCACCTGCACACAGTCAAGAAGCAACACCAAAACCTTCAGGTGAACTTTGCTTTCAATATAATAAATATCCCCGTGCCTTTTGTGAACTTTCTAATGGTAAATGTAAAAAAGGTTATATTCATAAGTGCACCAAATGTGGTCGCTTTAATTGTAAAGCTGTTCGTCATAATAGGACCAAGGCTATTTCGCATTATAATTCTGTTGAACCTAACTCACTCCATACGCATATTGCTAAGGTGGAACCGTCTGTCGATTCTGATACGACTTCTTTATTGAAATCTATCCACTCATTATTGCTCACGAGTAAAGAACATGTTGCACCGCCCAACGATGAGGCCGTCCCTCCCAAAGGGGGTTCGCAAGACAATGTTTATAGCATGCCTGCCATAAGTTTAGCTCCAGATAGTGTCACAATTTCTAATTTAGATCTTGCGAACCGTAATATTTTATGGTGTTCTGTTTCGTCAGCTGGGGTTTCTCTCCCTTTGCCTCTCGACACTTGCTGCTCAGTGTCTTTAGTTAGCAAAGCGCACGCCGATAAAGTTCTTGAAACACGCCCTGACCTCAAGTTTTCGCGCTTAGAGCAGCCCGTTAAAGTCTCTGTTGCCAGTCCCTCGGCCTCTCTTAAAGCCGTAGGTATAATGCAAGTTCCCTTGCAATTCGAAAATGGGCGTTCTGCAACTTTTTCTATGCTTGTCGTGCCAAATTTATCTTGGCCGGTACTTTTTGGCCAAAATCATTTACGCAAGACCGATGCCCGTATTAATTCTCGTGCTCTAACTGTATACTTTGCCGATAAAGGGTTAGAATTCGAAGTCAAGTGTCACGATTCTAATCCTATTCATGCATTTCCACATTTGCATTTTCCTACAAGTAGTTTTACTTCTACTGCTAATGTTACATGTTTGTTGACTGCCCTACCAACACAGCCAGGTGAACCTGTTCGCCTCCACAGGGGCTTTAATTTTGTTACTGTTTGCATGTTGCTTGCAACATCGCTGGTGGGTTCCTCCCTATTTTCGGCTTCGGGTGACCTTTGGCTGGAAGGTAATAAAATATTACCGGGGGTCACTACCCTTAGTGGTCCTATTTCCCTTTCTGGGTTACCGAGCATGACAAATTTGTGCACTTCTGTCATGTCCCCTTTTTTGGCTTCCAGCTACCCAAAATGTCGGCCTAGTCGCCCAGTTCGCTCTGATGTTGGTTCGCAGACAACTTGTTTACTGACGTCAATATCGCCCGTTTCAGAAACTTTAGTGGATAGTACACTGAGTAGTGAATCTTTGTACTCAACAACGGTTGTTATTCACTCTAATAAAGAGTCTGCGATTTTGCCATTAAATGTCTCGATCGGAAACATTAGGCCTGTATTGAGCACTGATACTAATGTGTTAGAAGATGCCGCAGACTTTACTGCTTCTCAGGTAGCAAACCAATGGTATTCATTAGTTTCTGCAACCCATGCCGCCCGCCGTAATATCGATGCCCTCCCGACCTTAGATCCTGATAAGATCGTTAATGGCGGTCATGCTATTCACACCTCTAACTTGCAGGAAATGGCACAGGATAATCTAGCCTTTGATTCGTCTTTTCTGTCGCCGTATTTAGAATGTACCGAGCGTCATCAGGCTAATTCATTTTCTCCAATAGGAAAAAGCGATATCCAGCCGCATTCTGAGGAATATTTTAGCAAACTTTTACATGCCTTAGAACTTGACGCGCCATCGTATGCACATGTGCCGCGTAGCATTTTAACGCAATTCAAGTCCTTGTTGCATGACTTCCAACATGTTTTTCATTTGCCTGACTCACCTCTGTCTACCATTAAGGGCGTTTATCATCATATTCCTACGGGGGATTCTCCTCCTGTCTATCGCCTTCCCCTTCCTTATCGCAAAAGCCCCGCAGAACTTTCCGCTATTAAGGCTGAAATTGCACGTATGCTTAAGTTAAACATTGTTCGTCCAAGCAACTCTGCGTGGGGGGCACCTTGTATACTTGTCCGTAAGCCCCTAGAAAAGGATAAGCCACAGCCTCCTCGCTTTGTTGTCGACTACCGCGGGCTTAATGCAGTTACATCTAGCGATGGCTATCCTATCCCGTCTGTCGCAAATATTTTAGACGCAATTAGTGGAGGAAACATTTTTGCTAAGCTTGATTTAGCTAGTGGATACTGGCAATTAGCTGTAAACCCAAAGGACAGACACAAAACAGCTTTTGCCACGCATTTGGGATTATGGGAATTTATAAAGATGCCCTTTGGCCTCAAAACAGCGCCACAAACTTTCCAACGCGTCTTAAATACAGTGTTTTCGGACTATTTGTACCAGTGGCTCATCATCTATATCGACGATTGTATTTCATGGTCTGCCTCATATGATGAAGCCCTGGAGCATTATAAAAAGATTTTTGAACGCGCAGATAAATTTTGCTTACAGTTCAAGCCTTCTAAATGCGTGTTCTTTTCTAAGGATCTCCAAATTTTAGGCCACAAAGTGACCACAGAGGGTCGATTCCCTACTGAAAAAGGGACAGAGGCAATTTCAAATTTCCCGCCACCCCGCAATGCGTCACAACTTAAACGTTTTCTTGGAATGGTCGGTTATTTCCGGGAATATATTCCTAACGTGTCAACTAAGACACAACATTTGCGTACATTATTGTCTAAGAAAGCCTCCAAAAGCGGCCAAAAATCTCGCTTTCTGCGCAACTTCGATGGTCCTTTCATCGTCACAGGCCATCCACATGGTCGCCAGGATCTTTTAAATTTGCGCCATGCCACCTCAGGACAAGACTGGTCACATCCAGTTAATGTAGAAAAGATTGTGGTCGTACCCGACACAACACCGTCTGATATTTCTCCTTTAGCTACAGTCGAGCACGTAGACTCGTCACAGGAAAGTGTCACTCCAGTACACCCTGCTTCCCCAAATAAGGACTTAGCCGATGTGGCATTTCGATTAGGAACGTTTTTAGAGTGTAAACCCTCCAAGTCCGCTGTAGCATCAGAAGCATGTAAATTTCTTTACGAGTCGTTCCCACCTAGTAGAGAAATCCTAGCTAAACATGGGCGACTCCGTGGTCTTGTTAAGTCATGTCAGTTTCTACATTTAGAAGGTGCTCCACACGGGGGCATCTATGTTCTCTCATTGGATGTAGACAAATTTTCTCGTTTACGTCGTTAACATGGATATTGTCGCTTTCAGTATGTTTTTCTTAATTAACGCAAAAAAAAAAATTGTAAAAAAAATACGTATGTTGTATTTTTTTTAAATAAGAAGGGGGAGGATGTAGTAGGACGCTCCCCAGATCACATGACCTTTTATAATCACGTGACAAGTATTATTTACTCCGAAGCTTTGTAAAGCGGAGTTCAGTTATCTTCGTATCCTCGTTCAGTTAAGTTATAAATCTTGAATGATTATCAAGATATGAAAATGTAAAGAGTGTGTTTCCTTGCTCTACCATCTCAATAATATAAATAGAAGCACCTCTCACACAATGTTGGCTAAAAAGCCTATTATTTACCCTAGCTGATAAAGTGACATTGGACGAATTTCGAGCTTTGAAACTGTTGTTATTCAACATTGTTTCAAGGGGGAAAGGGGGATGCTACTGAAGTTATGCGAAATTTTAGCTTGGTGTACCAAGACTTTTGGCAAGGATTGTAGTAGGACAGCAGAACATACTATGGGCATTTTTTAAGGATTCTTTAGTAGTGGGGCATTTCTAAAAAAGGGCCAAGCCCACGACAAGAAATTGTATGGTGCTTCAAATTTCTATATGCTTCCGTTTTCTCTAAAAAGTCCAGGTGTTGTTGCGACAGCTAAATGGGATTTTTCACACATATTTTTTGAAGACATCTATTTGGATAAGATTTGCTCTTACCAAGACCATTAGCTGGGGAAGTTAAAAATTCAACTTTGAATGAGGAATTGAAATCTTAGTGCTTGCATTTTATCAGATTTAGGAAAATTTTCGTAACATAATATCACGCTGTTTCGATGCCGAGTTATTTTAGGATTGAGTCTTATGTCTCAAGATTTTACGCGAATTATAGTAGTGAAGTTTCTTTAAAAAGCTCTTACAAGTGAGAAACATCTATCTGAGAGGAAAGAAAAGTGCCACTTTTCCTTCCTCACAGCTAAACGCTCCTCCACTTACCCACTTTGGCAACTAGGGTACGATAATTCATGTCCATGATTTTATAGGGGCACTCGCTATGCTAGCGGTACGCTGGAAGGGCCGGTGCAATATGCGTTTTTCTACCCTCTGCAAAAGTGTAACAGAAAGTTTTCCCTTCCTGAACGAAAGTTGTCAAACAAAAGCTATAGAGGTGGTGCCCAACAGATCCCATTCTTTAAGATTTTCAGGATTTTAAAGTTAGTTAAGTCGAATGATTAGCCCAAGATCAGGCTAAAAAAGAGATAACTTGCAAATGATCTCTATTCTATTATTTTTGTCATTCACTATTTGTTCACAGTGGCAGATTTAAGGGGGAGGGCACCTAGGGGCAGTTGCCCCTCCTTCACCAAGTTGAAGCAAGTCTGGCGCCCCTTTTTTGGAAATTGTACGCCCCTTTTGAAGAATGAGAATCAGATAAAAAAGTTTCTGAGACCTATAGTCTGATTTACTTCAAGTTTGACCTCAAAGTCAAGTCGTTTATTCCGAAATTTCCCGGTAAGGAAAAAGCATTCAAGTCAGCCTCTTTTGTAGAGTCGTCTAGCAGAGTTGGAGCCACTATGGCGGAGTAGGGAAAGTTCACCCGGAAAATCTATCTATTAAAGAGAGAAATTTCAATAAGAGACCTTCAATTATGCTCAGGCTATATCTCATTGTATTGACACAATTATTGTGAAAATTTCCTTAGAAAGTGAATAGAGAGCCTTCTGTGGGTCTGAAATTGTTGTATGCAGCGTACCCTTCTCACCATATTCTGAAAATTTTTCAGCGCTCCCCCCTGTATATTCACACCTGATCTCTAAACAAACAACTACCTAATGATCTGAAAACAAGACATGCAAGGCATTTGCTATGCACAGGATTAAGCTAGACTATTCCATAATTTTTGAACCAATGCCTAAAAATACTAGCCATCAAGATCAACATATGGTACATGAAAATTAAGTTAACATGGTTTGTGAGAATTGTCAACAAAGTGTATTCCAGAAATATTAGAGAAATGACATCAATTTTACTTTTTCAACACATACAAATTAACTACAAGAGAGCCAATAGAAACAAATGTTTTTCAAAGAGTCCTTGAGAATACGTGATCTGCAAAAGTAACATCAAAGATTTATCTATAACCTTTTCTTGCAAATGTAAATTTTCGCTTCATTGATGCTGAAAAGAACTTTCTCTTCTTCTTCTTTGGTTTGAAGTCAGCTGTAAATAACATGATTAAGATTATGATTATGATAAGTTATAAATTAATTAGTAAATTTATCAACTGAACTCTACTTTAAAAATCCATGTTAAGAAGAACTAGTAGCACAAAAGAGAATTATTTAAAGAATAATGTGTAACAAAAAGCTTAAAATGTGAATGCAAATACCTGTATCAGATGTATAATAATGAGGAAGAATCTTTCTTCTTGTTTCATTTAGTTTCAATCCATGTTCTCTGGCTGCACAAATGAATTCTTTCACCTTGTGGTAATAAATGACGCAATAAATCAATAAGGTAATAAAGGTCAGTTTCTACAGATATAATTGAAGCTATCATGGGAGGGGGCAGTGGGTTGACTGGGAAGGGTCTCCTGTCTTCACCTGGGAGTGGTCCCCTGGGCATGAGAATCTTAGAGGGTATCTTGAAGCAGTCAAGAGCATATAAGGGGTTCAGGGGCATCTGGGAGTGGACAGGGGAATTTTGGAGGAGACAGGGGGATCTTGAAGGTGATAGAGAGATCAGGGGGCAGGAGCACCTGAAAAGGACATGGGCATCTGGAAGAGGACAGGAATGTTTGGAAGGTAACATAGACATCTGGCAGGGAACAAGGGCATCTTGGAGGGGATTGAACATCTGGGAGAGGACAGGAGTATCTAGGAGAGGAGAGGGGAAATTTCTGGAAAAGGACAAGAAAATTTGGAGGGAACATGGGCATCTGGCACAGGACACAGGCATCTGAGATGGGAAATTGGCATCGAAAATGGGACAAGGGGTGTTGGCAAATGAAACCTTATGAAAAGCCAGACCCTATGAATGACCCTTGGACCCATGCTCCTTAACTACAAGTGTTCAAAATCAACTTGATACAACTGTCAAAACTTCAAACAAGGCTATGCAGGGAAAATGAGAGTGAAAACAGAGTGAGTTTCAAATCATAACATGCAAATTATAGGATTTGTACACCAGAAACAGTAGACAGTTACAGGGTTTCATTTCATAAAAAAGGTATACTACCAAGAAGAAGCAATTTGCAACTGCATATAAGAAATGATCATTCCAACTTCTTTGTACCTTGTCTTTCCCATCCATAACTTCAAATGACATGACTTAATCAAATCAAGTTGATTGGAATTTTCAATTTGAAACAAGATATTTGAAACAAGATTGGGAGAACAGTAGAAAAATTCCAATACCTAAGATGTTCAAACCCCATATTTTAATTATTAGTTGATTATATAAATTGTTCACTGTAAAAGGAGAATTTAATATAGTTTTTCATCCATTCGTAACTAACAATTGTATTATTTAAAATTGAGTCGATATTAATGCATGACAAGTTGTTCTACCAGTAATTCTATTAACTTTCATTGTTATTGTAATGTTGTAATTAGGTTAGAGGCCATCTTGGCCTAGACACCTTGGCCTAAAATAAATAATTGTTTGGTGAAAGTCAAATGACAGACAATTACTAATTACCTTCTCTTTCCTCTTTACATGATTCATTCTCCAAAAAACTCTGTCAATGCCACACTCTTTGCACCTCTCTGCAATTACTCGACCAACATTGACTGCAGCGGTCACATCAGTATTTTTTGATAAATGCCTTGCAATGGCAAATTCTTGGGTTGAAGCAGAAACTAGGATTTCACCAGTATGATGATCAACATATGCAGTTGTATGATTGTTGCTGATAACCAAGTTCAATCTAGGAGCAAAAAAGGCCATTAGTTCAGAAATTCAAACTAAATACACCCTAATAACACCAAATGAAGAATAAATGAAATGTTATAGTGGAAAAAATTCCAAAAGAACAAAATTCTGAATACACATCAGGGTTATGCGCAAGACAGTGATTAGGATTTTGGAAAACCAAAGTTACTTTTTTCCTTGATTTCGAGGAAAAAGATGGAATTTGGCTAATACTCATGGCCACACTATTGAATCAAAGAGCTGAATAAACTTGATAAACTAATACATTTTTGGAATAGTTGCCACTTTTATGCATTGCAATCAATTTATATTAATATTTTTCCATTCTTTTATGATGATAATCTAGTCAAAATCCAAATATTACTGTAAGCATGCATAAAAGACTTCAAACAGACCTGTTCCAAAAGTCCCGTCTTTTCCGTAGTTTTCCATACCCCTTTGGTTTGTTGTAGCCAAGAAGTTCCATATTTCTTGGATTTCTGTTTCGAGTTTGTAACTGTGTTTCTGCAGGCAACTCTGGGATATCATTTTCTATTTGAAAGAAACTAGGTTTTGGTTCTCGCCAAAGCGAAACTCTCTTCTTCTCAAAAATCTCTGCGTCTAAATTTTCTGCCTCTCGTGTATCAATGAATTTTTCCAAAGACCGTAGACCCCTGTTTTTCAAGTCAGAGCTACAGAATCTTGATTGACACCAAGATGTACCAGCTACTACACCTATCGCAAATACTCGGCGACACTCCGGTCCTAATTTTGCATGGTTATTTAAAAGTAATTTTGGGGTTAAAACTACTTGTAATCCATTACATCTTAGCCTTGGGAGTATTCCAGTGAAAGATGCCATGCTCATCCTGAAAAATAATGAACGGTGCAACGATTTTACCACGCTTCTTGTTTACTCTGCATTATAAATCAACGCTGGCAACAACTTAGGCCCGTCCCTGTCCGTGTATGTCTCGGTCTCGTTCCGATTATTGCCTCGCGGTGACACAGGGACCTTGTGTTTGCGAACCCCGGATATAACGAATTTCCGGTATAACGAACTAAATGTCTAGTCCCTTGGGTTCTCTCGGTATAACGAACTCGGATATAACGAATTCTCGATATTACGAATCAAAATCATAATGCTCTCACGACTTTCTATCTTCCAATCAAACGATCTTTCCACGAACAAGGTTAATAACATGTTCTATGTTTCTTTACGGTTGTCCCGCAACGTCGAACTATTCTCGTAAAATCAGGCAGTCTTCTACAACAAGAAGTGTCCTCGCAAACATATCAAACCATGCACAATTATCACCTTTAACGGGAAGGCAAAAGAAAATTACCTTAAAACAAGAGTTCCTCTTTTTAAAAATATGGAATCAAAGATTTGAATAAAACCGCCAAATCTAGATTCGGTCAAACAAGCCATCAAGAGAGTCCATTACCAGGCATTTCACTGGTACAGATGCATGGGTATAAGAATTCCAACCATACCTCTTGAAGAACATGGTTGGAAGTATGAGCAAGAGTATGAGATTTTACAAATTTGGTTCACCGGATCACAGTTACCTTTAACATAAGTATTAGCCCCCTAGGAAATCGCAAAAATGATTCAAAGTCTAAAGTACTCTTTATATGCTGTATAATCAAAATTACTTGAGAGATTTATAGTTAGACACTTGGTTAGGTTTTTGTAATAATTTCCCTGTCTATAAATAATTGATAAGGAATTTTGCATAACCATCGATCTACTAGCAAACTGCCTAACCGAAATTTTCAAAGGTTAAATTGCCCTAGCAAACTGCCCCCATGCGAAAGTGTCCGGGGGGACCGAAACGCATAGCAAAACGACACTATGGAAAAGTGTCCCCTCTATAAAACAATAGGGGGACATTTCTGCATAACAAAGTTTTGAAAATGCGAAAGTGTCCGTTGTGAGCAGTATTTGTTGTTTTTGAGTTGTTTTTCACAGCATACACAGTACTCAAGGAAAGAAGTTTAATTCTCTCTGTTAACCAAGTACCAAGTAAACCGATTAATAGAAGGGAACCATATTAAAAAAAGAAATATTGACATTAACAAATTCTATACCCAAAATTAACGAGAAAAATGTTTACCAAACAAAGAAAGCAAGGGGAAACTTAAAATTCAAAAATTACTTGACAAAGAAACGTTTTTAAAAAATTTCAGCGTGAATACATTTTGTGTTTAAAAGACAAAATATAAAGAATGAATATTAACAACGAAATGCCCTTTGATAATTATCACATGATTTACATTCTATCCATAGTTGGACAGAGAGTGCAGCTACCTGTGAAAATCCTGACACGGGGATTGCAAGTGTTAAGGTAGGGTGTGGGGAGGGGGGGGGAGGGGGTTGAAGGAATATTAGTTCCAAATTCACATACAAACAGAATGAATTAAAAGAATAAATTACGCAGGATCAGAAGGAGTGAGATAAGCAACACGGCGTTCGAAATCCTTTCAAAAGTAAACGAGAATAATGAATCTCGTGTTGAATTTCCACAAAAATAATAAGTTGCTGTATAAAATCAACTCAAACTATACTTAAGATTCCAGCGTTTTATCTTGCTCTAAGAATTAAACTGATTACTCAATACTAAACAGGAATTAAAAACAGGAGACTCAATACGATTCCATCAGGTCTAGGTGTCACTAGAACTATATTACTAAGATGTTGGTTTTCAAATTGAGCAAGAAGGCAACCGGCTACTTTAATCAATCCTGTTGCATCTTGATTTTTCCCTTTCTAAATCGAGCAACGGGACAATATTAGAATTGAATGATCTCAGAATTGAAAACTGTAAACGTAAAAAGAATGCCTTGAAATAACAAACTAAAAATCATATCAGAAATACAGCGGTGGGCGGATTTTTAAACACAGTATACGAGAAGTGATATGCTAGCGAAACAGGCTTAATCTCAAGAAGCTGTTGGTTTCAACAAAGCATTCAGTAGGCGGTGGACAGGTGGCAAGAGGCGAAGAACTTTAATAAAGCGATGGCAGCTGGGAATAAGTGTTATCTTGCATAACATCTGTTTAAGATGATTTAGGATTTTGTGAGAAATAGGCTAAATCCCACAAGATGAAACAGTTTTCTGTGAGAATGTCATTTTTCTGCTGAAATATTTTTAAAATGCTTAAAAGATTAATTTGAGAAATCTATTTTGATAACAAATTTTATGTAACACGACTGAATGGAAGGACGATTTTGACGAACCACTTGTGTACTGCCAAGGTGTTACGTGACTGTTAAAAATGATTTGATGGTGCTTTACATGCACCTCAGAAACATGGACCAACATCTAGTAATGACAGGTAACCGTCATATAGGGGCATGGCGGGATAAATTGTTTATATGGAATGTGCTACATAAAGTGATTCTTTACAATGCTTTAGGACTTGCCAGAACAAATGTTTTTTTCAAAAATCCTACAAGGTGCTTCGGGTATTTCTAATCATGGAATCCCTCACTGCATTGAGCTTCGCATTACGATATCTAACAAAAGGCCTATTTACAACAGGGTTTGATTGATCGGACCCTTTTTTTTCAATATATTTAACTTTAAAGTGTTCGGCCTCGAGATGCAAATTCACTTTACATGTATATGTATGCACAACAAGAACAGTCAGGAACGCAAAAAACTGAATATCTACGCCCTGCGATCAAGGATCATTATAAGCAACATTTTGAAAAGTTAATGTAACCCAGGGCCTAAAATCGAAAACATTAAAATAAAAGACGTCCAATGAGACGGAATGGTAGCATCAAGTCATCATTCGGAATGGGATAACGTATACCATTTTCGTTTAAATGAATCTAAAAATAAGTCTGAAATTTTCAAGAATGTACATATTGCAACAGTCGCAAACAAGGAAGGGAGGTGCTTTCTGATCTATACGTTGGCAGAGTCCAGTAAATTGTTCCTGATCTTCAGGAAATAAATCGAAGTATGATGAATCAAAGAAATCAAAAAAAGGGAATACGACGTATTCTAAGAGCATGCTTTGAATTCTATCTAATTTTGATGATGTAAGTAACAATTTTCTCTCACGGTTCACGGGTCACGGGCCTGCAATCTTCCTGGACTCTGCTCACACACTTTGCAACAACAGCTTGTGTTGCGTTTTCTTAGTTCGGGGATTTTATTTTTTTAATAACATGCGGAAGGCCATATCGGAAAATTCACATAAAAAATTAGCCTATTACATGATTTATGCATCGTACGCATAATCTGCTTTATTATGCATGACCAGCTTGTCATTAACAAAGTAGAAACTGTCTGATCTGGTTTCATATGGATGATTGATCATCTCTTGAACTGCAAAAGAAGCAAGATGCGGGTCAAGATGCGTGTGAATTAAACATCGATTAGAGGGCTGCAAAAAGTAATCAGAACTTGGAAACTGGTTTCCAAGAGAACTTTCCGAATTGTCAAAGAAATTTTTCACACAACAAATCTTTAAAAAACAACAAACTATATCTTGAGCTATTACAGCAAGGGATATATTGTCCCTGGAATTAAAAATTTGAAAAAGAGAATGGAAATCAAGTAAGAAAATTCTCAATCTTGCGGAGCATTCTGAGGCAATAGTTTCAGCAACTATATATAAAATTTATTAGGTAACCAAAAATAAGAATGGTTTGCATCCATTATCGATAACAATATAAATCTGTACAACAAAAGCTTTTCAGATTATCTGTAAACAGTACCAAAGTTAGAAAATTTTAAATATTCGAAAAAATCATGACCAAAATAAAAAAAAATTAACAGCAACAAAATTATCACCACTTACTTTCACTGTCTGTGAGTTGTGGAAATTCGTAAATATGTTCACACGTGTTCTTGCTGTTTGGCATACAAAAGCCAAAGTTGAAGTCAAAACTTTTCAGAAGCCTCTCTTTAAAGTAGTGCCTTTCAATCATACGAAAGTTCTCCACTGGTTTATCGCCGACTGTGAATTCAACCCTAAAAATAACAGGAATGAAATTTTATGCAGTGAGGTTGAAGCCTACGATGAATGAACATTAGGTAAGCTATGATACAATCTAAAATAAACATGGTAACATCCGCAAGGAGAAATTCAAGAACATGCACGAAATGGTATCATTACAAGCACAAAAAAGAAAGAACGAAGAGTTTCTTTTCGCACCACTAAAACTCGATTTCATAATTCAAACACTTGAATATTTTCATTTTAAAGGTCAGCCTAAAACATTAAGTTTCAATTAAGAGCATAATAAACATGAAAATAAAATTCTTCATTAACCCTAAGAGGCATTTTTCAAATGAACTTTACTAGGGACTTTCAAAATGAATTTAACACTCAATTCTAGATAATAGTCGTTACCAAACAGATTTTTCAGGCAATTCAAAAGCGCTTCAAAATCTGTTTCAAGTTTGTTCATGATATTTTTGATGAGACAAATGAACTCAATACAGAGCATTTTGAAAGCCAATGATGAAAAAGTGGTTACCAAATATGCGAATACCTTAATTCGCTGACTTAAAGAGCTTTAATTTTCATATAAAATAAACTGGTAACCATATAACGAAACCTCATATGCGCTGATGTTGTGGTTGCCAGTCAGTGAACGAGTGCGACCACGAACACGACAATTGTGATTAAAATGCGAATGAAAGGAAGAGTACAAAAAATTCTAAGAAGGTAGGCCTGCTACCAACATGACACTGGGCAGCCTTGTTACAAAGACGAAAGTACTGTGGGATTGAAACGATCTATGCATTGTTGAGCACTCCCCTCCCCCTACCATTTTGTATTTATCTGTTTCATTAAAGGTTGAGTTTAAAATGACAAGCAAAGGCCGTGTTTTTGAGATTTTGCCCCGAAATCAATTTAAATAGATTAGAAAGAAAAGGTTTTGTTGGACGTGAAAAAGCTCTCTTTTCGTGATTTGCTATCATCTTGATCACACGATTTGAGGGGAGATCCAGGATCAGGTAATACCCCCTCCCCCCAAAGAGAGAGAGAGAGAGAGAGAGAGAGAGAGGAGAGAGAGAGAGAGAGAGAGAGAGTGTCAGTGAGAGAGAGAGAACATTAGTGAAAATTTATGTTATAGGAAGAAATAAAGGCATTAGTGAAAGAATAGGAAGAAATAAAAGGTAAAGGTAAAATATTACGTTGCACCTTGAAACAACTTGAAAAACTTACGTTGCACCAACAGCTGAAAGTTTCAGAAAATCTTTAGAAAATCTGTACCGCACATATCTTCCGGAATTTTGGTCTTCTTCGTCGCATTCTATTGAATCTTCCTCACCTTCCGGTTTCATAATCTCAAACAAAACCGAACCTGTCTCCATATCTCGTATCCTGAACCTCGTAAAGTCGATATTGAACAAGTTAACTCTCCCATCGATGAGATAATCTGAAAGAATAGATTGTGAAAATCAGTGACTTATAAATCTTCTTCAAATCAAAACATTGGCACGAAATAAATAGTTCATGTGCAGACACTTAGTAGAACAAATTAACAATAATTCAATGTATGGAATACCACTTTCTCAGCTTATAAAGTATGTGTTTCAGAGCATTCCTTCATTACGGCAAAAAATGCCCGTGTTGCAAACGATCCACCAACACTCTTTGTAATTCGAATACACAGCTGCTATGAAACAGAATAAGCTACTAAAAGAAGGCAGCAAAGAACAATGCCTACAAAGGTCTTGGTACACTAGCGTCAGTTTCCCAGGCAAAATTCAGCCATTTCCCTTCCAACTGTGAACAATGTTGGTTTACTAAAAATGACGTAGGAGATTGAGAAGTACCTTTCTTCTTTGATATGGATGACATTATTTTTGGGGAAAAGGGGTGCAGAAGTAGGAGTTTTCGGGAGAAGAACTGAAAAATATTAAAACATAGTGCATTTTCTTGGGCGGCATTAGCAGGCATTACAAGAAGCATTTAAGTGGTGAATCTGTTGGTCCACAAAACTACTTTTAATTGATTGGCCAATTTGTTTTAATTTACGTTAATATAGCTCTTCAAATTTAGCTTTGATGTATGTTATGCTCTTTTCCCTAACCAACGGCATGTTTTAGGCCAGTGGCTTCAGAAAACGCGAACAGTCATCTAATACCTTGTTAGCTCCTGGCCTATTATTTACGTGGAATGCAGGTGTGGAAAAGTAAAAAAGTGCTTGTTCTTATGGAAATATTGCAGCGGTGTTATTATAGAAGAAAACTATATACATTGTTCATGTAAAAGAAAAGGCACATGCATATGAATGAAAAGACGACGAAGAAATATAAATACAAACCGGTAAGAAGACAATTATGAGAAAAATGTGACACGATGGCAATTTATCTTTGTCTTTAAAACAAGCGGAATGGGCGATTTGTTTCTAGACAACTCTAAGTTTCTCAGTTAGTACGTGTTTCGTTTATATACATCACAATTTACATAGACCGTTCTACGAGCACACTGCGCTTTTGAAAGGAATCCAAAACACTGATGTCACCAGTCTGTGTACTTTTTAAATCTATCAGAGTTTTCACCAGTCAAAACAAAACCATGCCATGTAACCGTGGTGTGCTATTGTCTTTTGTTTTGTCCAAAAAGTGCATATTTAGTCAGTTTCGGGTGATGAACCATTTCAAAAACCTTGCCAAAGCTCAATGTCAACATAACCTGGGAAGGAACGATATTTTCCCAAATGTTGAGCTGTCTCCGATGAAAATCCAAACACTGATAAACTTGAATTTACATTTGGGAGGTGATTTTGATGTTCTTTGGAGACTAACAAACTCACCTATATCATAATTGTAAACGACCATTTCTATTCACTAACAAATAAGATTATAGCTTTAAAAACTCTACTTAGAATGCTGGACAAATCTTTTCGCTCATGTTAACCTGAAGAAAGCTCGTTGTAACACGAAAATTTCGTTTCCTGTTCCACTTTCGCATTCACATGTTAAAGAATTCAAATTTATTTAAGAATACAACCATTCTAGTGGTTTTGGCATCAAATAAGGGCAAAGGCACATATCGACGATTTCAACATGAGATTTCATTTGAAACACTTCATGTAACTTTACCTGGTACTATTGCAGACCTGCTTCATTGGGCTACACCCCCAAAGAATACCATTGCGAGAATCGCTATAAAATGCTTTACAAAATAAGATAAGCACTCTTACTAGCAAAATGCTTCAAGAAAAAGAATATCAATTAATGAGATAATAGGACTATCTATCAGTGTTTGCAAAATAGATGTAAATAAATGACTTGAATCTACATAGCCAGAGAAAAATTCTGACAACCCCCCCCTCCCACTTATGGAAAGTTGGTCGGTAAATTTTACGGATGGCCGGTAAATGTTTTGGATTGTCGGTAGATGCGTATCTTGACTATATATTGTATATTGGTGTGTATACATTGACTAGCAAGAGATGAATATTGGTCGGTAAATTCACCCGTTTACACCCCCCTGCTCCAAATCGTCAAGGTACGCCCCTGTTTATAATGGTCTCTTATTCAAACAGCATTATCACACCACATCTCTACTAAATGGGACAATAAACAAATCCAACCAGATATGGTCATCATTGTGAACTCAAGCAATTACAGAGGTCTATATGCATAACTGTGTGAATATTCAAAAAAATCGAAAGGCCACCTGCATATAAGAAAGAAAATCTTTTGATGACAGGCAACATATACAGTTAGCTAGACATCTAAAATACGTGGGCAATATTTTCTACATTTCTGTATCTCTTGGCTTTTGAAGTACAGCACAGAACACTTTTTCACTTTTTATCTTCAAAAGAAACCGACGACTTATTAACAAAGTCTACTGAAAAGGATTCTTAGGTCAGCAAAATGTATCTCGTTGCCTTAAGAAAACATATGATACTATCTATTTTAAACATTATCTGAAACAAATCTGACCATGGCATATACTCAAAAAATCGCTCTTTTGTGGATGATCTGTGGATAAAATGAGTGCAACTGAGAAACTTCCAGCCTCAAAGACGCATTATGTAAAGGAAGAAGGATTCACTTATGCAGAAAAATGCAGTGAAATCACAAAGCATCAGGCATAAAAAACCAACATAATTTTGACCACAAAAATCATCAAAGTGGTTCTAAGATGTGAACATATGGCCTTAATGCCGAAAGCAAAAGGTGACAAAGGCTTAAAATAGCTTGAGTGGATAAAAAAAGATTTTCATGTCGAAAACCATCCAGATTTTAAGTTACGCTATTTGGTGTACAGAACAGGAAAGTTTTTTAAGTTGCTATTCTGAGTTTCACTCATGAGGAGCTTAATGTGATCATCAGGCATGCATATGACAGACTGGTAAACAGTTTTTTTTCAAATTTTTTATCAAGTATTTAATTGCAAAATATTTTTTTTACTGAGTACTGCTACAATATAAGTTTCTTACTTGAATTGCTACAAAGCATTTCAAAGTGGATTACTACAAACAAAACAAAATAAGCATTAGGAAGGTAAGGAGATTCTGTTGGAGATGCATTCAAATTTATCTAAAGTGGAAAAAAAGTGAATAACCAAAGAAAAAGGGTTGTGCTAAAATAAAAAAGATTCAAAGAAAATAGGCCCACATTGTGCAAGGGAAACAACACAAGCAAGACAAGACAAGAACTGTCCAGAAGTTACAATATTCCAAAAACAAATAAAAAATAATCTGACTTCTACTTGATCGGCATAAACAGACCATTCAGCGTATAGAGACTGTCACACAATTTGTTCAGATAGGAAACTTAGGTCACTGCTATTGGCAACACCATGTCAGTTGAACAGATGGCAGTGCAGAATTGATTGACAAAGACTATCTGCGTCAGCAACAAAAAAACCTGTTCAGCAAAGGCATGTTAACTCTCACGCTTTTGACAAATGTACCACAGTTTTGAGTTCAATCCCATGATCTGAAGATTTTATGTAAATATGACCTTTAATGTCTATAGGAATGATATTGTGTTGTAAGAATTGCTATGGTCCCTATCTTGTTTCTTGTGATTTTCCATCGCTGGTGTTTGCCTCGATTCTTATTTAACGTGCAGACAACACAGAGCCAGTGAGAGAGACTGTGTTGACTGTGGAGCTCTGATCTGAACTGAACTTATGTATAAACCAACATACTTATATATATAAATCAAATTGCTGATTAAGGATGAATTAGGATGATGTAATGATGATGCAATGGAGAAGGAAAGATCTAAACTTGGAAATTAATCAGCATGACATAGATGTGTGAACGTGTAAACAATGGTGAAAGGAATGTCCTATGGTATGTGATGTCATCAATGACGTAAAGAGATATCATGGTGATGGAAATATGCGAATATGGCCTATCTTACAATATTAAAATTACTACTATGTCTTCGAAAACATACAAAGACCCTCAACCAAAATACTTTTCTGTCTTTTTATTGTTTTTTCCATTGGATGGTGGTCAAGATCTTTCTTATTTACTATGAAGTCAAAAACTTTCTAGACTTTGAAAATGACAGCTTTTAACCAGGGTCAATTGCCTAGAGAACTGAGTTGATTCCATCCAAGGCCAATTCATGAGGGAACAACTGGAATGTAACATTCCTTTTTTAAAAACCTTTAGCTTAAGCAAATAAAATTACCTGCAGTAGGCAGAGAACACGGTGGCAAGACAAGATCAAGAAGGACTTGCAGGAAATGAATGGCAGAGGAGGATTCGGACGGCCGACCCTGATTAATCAGGACAAGGCCTACAGTGAAGAAGCTTAAGCAAATAAAAGTTCAATGTAGACAAGGAGTAATACTTTTTAGTCTTAAAAAGATTTGAATGTAAAGATGCATACTTGAATTTGGTAGGGGTGTTTCTGGGCAATAAAACGGTTGGCTTGTAAAGGGCATGCTTAGATGTAGGGCTGGATCTGTCCCATAGGGAAAATATTGACATATCCACCTTTACTTAGATGCTGAGACAGCTTCTCATACCAACACTCATAGACATAGAAATAAGAGGGCACAGTCCCCTCCCCCAACTTTTCTTAAACAGAGTACCCCATTTTTCTACATTCCCCCACATTTGAAAATGCTAGAGTTTAATACACTAGAGCCAGCCATGCATCTGCAAAAGAGGTGACGAATTAGGCTTTTTAGGCTTTGGATGGCAGAATAAAATATCTGAATAATGATAAATCAAGAAGCATTTGCATCAAAAAATAATTAGTGACTATTTAGATGCTGACACGGTATTATAATTAGTAGTATAATTAATACATGTGATGTCATATTTCTTCTTTGCTTTACACTTTGGCTAAGATGCTTAACACATGTTCTATCTATTTCCAGTTTTAAAACTTCGCAAAAAGTCATGCAATTTTTTTTTGGTCAGGGGTTAACTCACTTTTGACTGTATTATGTCCTTTCATGTAGCTCAATTTTACTGCAAATTTGATGGAATTTCAGTTATTGTTAGAATACCAGGATATATACATATTGATTCTGTTAAAGGTAGAGGAGAACATTCCCTTACAAGCCTGTCAACAGTTAACAATCTGTATCAATTTGCAGCTGAACTGATGTGCTGAGCACTTATAATGGTAGACTAGAATTACCTTCAAACTTCCAGTTATGTAATCTATGAAATGATTTTCATTTTAAAGACATGCATATTGCTTTATTTTAGCTACTAAAAGGTTTTCGACTATCCTTGATGCAAACATTATTCAACGTTGCATATCTTAACATGAGGCTGCCATAGTTGATTTGAACTGTTGGTGGCTGAATACTGGCAAAAATAATTCGTCTTGCGCAGTTTGAATAAACAGAAAACTCAGAATTTCGTTAAAGATTTATTAGTGCATTCAGATAACAGCTCTGTCATTGTTACATTTTTTACCTAATCAATAGCACCGCTAGCCTTGTTTGAATAAGTCTAGAGATCGACCTTCCTTGAGCTGGCTTGGTAACAACCGAACAACAAAATGCCTTATTCAGAAAATTGTGCCTCACCTGGGCTCATTTATAAGTAGCAATTTCCTTGTAAATGTCCATAACCACAAACATTTTTGATGGGAACAGACGCCGCAACAAGAATGTTCTAAAAGATCAGATCAGATCAGACGAGGAGCCTATGCTTCACCGCGTAGCATAGCAACACACGAAAACATCGATTATTTCTTGATGGCAAATTTAGTTTATCATTAGCAAACAGGATAAAATACACAGCATATCCTTTTTCTTTGCATTGTTATGAAAAAGTCCAAATATGAAACAACATAGACTCCAACTGATACTTTTCTATAGAGTTCAATACGTTGCTGCCTTATCATTTTTGGAATCGGCTAGGAAAAGGAAACAAGAAAAAGGAGCGCAGCACTGGGCCTTTGCAACAAAAGGAAGTCCAAATTTTTCCGAGGGCTGATAATAAAAAGATACTAGAGATGATGCAAAAATGTACAACGAAACTTACTTTGTGTGATTTTGTCTAGCTTTGTAATATCTTCAGGAGTTATGACATCTTTGTTAAGCAACTGCTCCTCGCTAACATCGTCGCCTTTCTTCGATTTGGCAGCTCTCATCAAAAATCCTCCACCTTTCTTTTTCTCTCTCCCCGAAGAACTGTCTTGAGCGGGCATCTTTTTCCCGACTTTAAGACTCATGGAAAGAGCACAAAGTATTGCTTACACAACACTAATCTGAGTGAACGTGGCTTGTAGGAAGCAGTTTCTTCACCTCTTACGGCTTGACATTTCCAACGGAAAGTGAAGTGCGTGTATTCGATTGCATAAAGGATCTTCTTGGCAATGTCTCTTCTTTGAAAATGAAACGGAATTCAATTAAGGGGTCTTCTACTTCTGTATATAGGATGTTCAAGTTCAGAGCGGGGGGTTCTGTGCTTCCAGCGCATGTCTGTTTTGACGCTCTTATTGTTGTTTAAAAATTGAAAACGAAAGTTGGCAATTGAATAGAAAGAAAATATTCTTCTTTTATCGTTGACATGCACTCCTCGGCAAAAAATGAGGAAAACATGCAAAATCAGATGTAAAACAAGAAAGATGAAATAATGAATTGATAATACAACAATTCATATGAAACAAATTAATATTGAAAAACAATATTTACTTGTCTTATATTTTGAAAAATAAGTTTCTAATTTAAGATTGATGGACACTTTTACCTCTTTGGATGGACACGTTACTTCTAGTATTTCCACAATCTCTACCACTAGAAAATTTTTGTACCTTTCACAGTGGCCTTTCTAAGGGGGCCAGGGGGCCAGGGGGCCATGGCCCCCATAAATTTTCTTGGCCCCTTGCTTGGTCCCCAGCTTTTAAAGAAGTTACTTTTAGAATTCAATGTTTTTTTCCAAAGCTGTTCAATCGTTCTTGAACTTTTTAGGGTTGCTCTCTTCTATTTTGCTCAATGCGATTTGTTGTTGTATTTATTTAAAAAGCCAGGGGCTCCATCTTAACCGCCACCATTTAAATTCAGTTTCAGGTCATTCCTAGAATGAATAATTTCAAACCTTGTCTTGCCACCAGCAGCCATGGCGGTGACCTTTACAAAGCCCTTGATCAATCTTAACATTAAGTTTCATCAGCCCTTGAAAAGTTGTACCAAGGCCATACTTTCTACGAGGCGCCAAAATTGGTGCTGTGTAGCCAATTTTGAGCCACTACGCCACTGTTTTACATTCTATTAGTTCGCAAAATAATAGCTAGCGTTGGCCCTGGCTAGCCCCCCCAAGACTTTTACAGCTATATTCGCCACTGACCTTTCATTTTATACATTGTAAAATTCAGTTGCGAACCAAGCTGAAAATAAGTTGATTAATTTGGTGCTGTCATTATTTCTAAATATATGCTACATAACATCTATGTACAAATACAACCTTTGAAGTGTCTCTGACGACAACAGCGAAAGATCGTCAAAATACAACCAAATTTTGGAATGACATAAAACAGTAGACTCATACCATGTGTGATAGACATAAAAAATCAATTGTCAAGGAAGGAGTCCTGGTCTTACGAAGATTCTAAGAGAGGAAGAAGTAATTTCTATGATTACCAGGATTAAAATATCAAATTTATGATTCAGTATATAATACCGTAAAAGCTCTATTATGCCTCAGGGAGCTCATTCATTTTTTCAGTCATAGAGGGGGCTTAAAAGAGAGGGGGCTTATTAGAGAGGAGGACTTGAAAAATTGAATTAAAAAGTGTTTTAAAATGTGTTAAAATTTTAAAAGGCGCACAAATGTGCTTTTAAAAGTGGCGCAATTAATTATTGTTGTAATTACTACTGTCACTTAAAGACTGGGCCACTGATAGAGGATTCACGGGAAGTGATCAGTTAAGAGCAACAATCATTAATGTGGTTACGGTCTCTCCTCCTTGGTGGTGATGGTATGTGACGCGGGCTACAATTAATGCACACGATCGTTTCATCATCACACCCGCCAAGAGCCTTCTTAATGCCTTCTTTGCTTGACATCAAAGGCTAAGGAGGGGGGGGCATTAATAGAGGGGGACGTATTTTAAGTTTTTGCTTGATAAGGGTAGCCTGTGTCCCAGACCCCTAACTTGAAAGACTTCTACTTTCAAGTTAGGGGTCTGGAGCACAGGCTAGATAAGGGGGGCTAAATAGAGAGGGGGCTCAATAGAGAAGGGGGCTCTATAGAGCTTTCATGGTATTTCAGTGTTTGGATTTTTTGAATTTGCCTTTCGGCAAATTAATACAATTCACATTCAGCAAACCAATTCTAACTCACACCATGGCTAAAAAAATAGCACGGCTTTTGCAATGTACGAAGAATGTGGAGGAATGGTACTTCGATATTATGAATTGGCGATGTGGACAAAACTGATGATGATGATGATTGATGATGATGATGATAATGATGATGATTGATGATGATGATTGATGATGATGATTGATGATTATGATGATGATGATGATTGATGATGATGATGATGATGATGATGATGATGATGATTGATGATTATGATGATGATGATTATAATGATGGTGATTATGATGACGACGATGACAATGATGACGACAACGAAGATTCCAAATGTATTAAAAGTCTGAACTTTTCTAGATGCGCTTCCAGTCTGTTTCCCAGACAACTAAGAACCTTTATGTTTTATGAGAATGCCTAAAAAAACGGCGGCACAAGCTATGACGCAGCAACTTTACACAACTCATATATTGGGGCTCTGTGAGTGGGACCTAACTGGGATTTTGTTTTTTTGATATGACGAAGGACATTTTTTGCTTGATAGCATAACACGAAAAATTATTTTTATTCGGTTGCTTTATCAAAATGCGTTTCGCATATTTACAGTTTCTTGATAAACGGCGGGAACTGCTATGACGCAGTAAGTTTACAAACCCGGATCTTTGGATTCCACTATCAACCTTTGCAGAAGGAGAAATCGATGCGTGCCTAACGATCTCTAACGACCCGCGCTGACAAAACGGTTCCAGCATAATGATCTCGCGGCAGTGCAATTACTTGATTACGAAGGGGAATCTTTCGTACGTAATTGTGAGCAGCCAAACTTTTAATTTCGTAAACTTCCTAGTTGCGAGTGCAAAGATTTCTTTAATTCGGCAATTGAACCGTTTGATTAAGAAATGTAGTCACAGTTCCCCAAATGATTAATTGATCATTCTCGTAACTGTGAGTCTGACAGACTTTTAACAAATTCCCGTTGTTTCTATGTTTTTCCTACACCAAACAACCTTATCCAACGGGGTCTGAAGAATTTGGAATGAATTTTGGATAAACCCTAGAGAAAACTGGAAAGTACCTGCAAGCATTTTGCGACAATTTTGCATAGCCTGGAAACTTTCGAATAACTTTCACCGACTTTGCAAAACTTGCGAAAAACTAAACAGATTTCTGATACTTGCAATATATTCGAATTTCCCGCCCTTGCTTCAGACTCTTTAATTGTCCCGAGTTCCTTGCATGAAAGTTAATTCTTGCAGAAACTCGTGAAACGTGAAATCGCATATTCCCGCACTTTCTTTTGTATCCCACATAGCAAATTGCAAATTATACGTCTAATTACGTTGACGCTTGACAGGATGAAAGCACCATTCTCGATTACGAGAAGTTTCTGATCTATTCTGGCTACCGTTCAACATGCACGTGCAGAACCAATTTGAACTGCCCAACGTCACGAGCAAAACTAAAAGTGATTGGTCGAATCTAAGAGGATGACCACAAAGGGGATCTCAGGCTAGCAGCCGAACCCAATTTAATAGCACGATTATAGACCTAAGTGTCGATTAGCGAACCTCAATTGACCACTTGATCGGGAAACTCACGATTCTCGATTGTTCGTTTGGGAAAATTGGGAAAATCCTTTGATTTTGGCATTCTATGCCTGCATTGTTTCGATTGTCTCCCGCCTTTGAATTCGGCTTCTATGTTTCCATTGTTGAACTCATCAAAATGCCGATCCATTGTTACACAATTGGCAACAATTCTACATATATATATATATATGGATGCCCATCGAGCTGAGCAAAATCCCCCCTTCATGTACTCATTCTTCGTACATAATAATTCATTCAGGCAACAACAACATTCCCATCACCATTAATTCTGCAACGTGAAAGCGAGGCAAATAAAAGCCAAAATGGAGGAAGGTTTCAAAGTTGTTTCCAACAGAAGGAAAAAGAAAAGGAATAAGAATTGTCCCAAACAAATTTCATTCTTTGATTATAAACATGGTTCAGAAATAGAAGATGTCTCTTACGAGAGGTCAATTTCAATGATAGAAAAGTGCAGGTTTGTTTTTCGGTCCCAGTTAATTAAGCCCCGTAATAATGCATTACTGATGATACTAGTGATCATTAATGATACTAGGTATCCATGCTGAGTCACGCAATCACGGGTAAAATAATTGCAAATCACATCACTCAGCCTGCCCTGAGCCTCCTCTTCTTCAACACCGCCTCACGAGCGTTCACTGTACACTTACGTGACAAATGTATTGCGACGATCGCCTCGAAGCAAATGTGATAAATCCTTTGCTCAAAAAACAACATAGAAAATCGGTGGTGGAACATTTCGAGATTGCTGAATTAGATTTTCGATTGCAATTTTACCTAATTGAAAAAATATATTATTGTAGAAATAGTAAAAATAGTAATAGATGAATTTAATAAATTGTAAAAATAGACTTTTTTAGACAAGTACAATTTGCTTTATTTTAAATTTTGTCGGATGTCCTCCAGGAATCTGGCAGCCGCCATTTGCACTGGAACTCACTGAATTATTTTTGCAATGATATATCTTCGGATACAGTAGGAATTCTCAAGAAAATTCTAAAAGAGTTTATTTTTGGTCTTGGAAGATTTCATTTCTTGGATTTTTTTATGAAAACTAGTTGTTTTCATTTACATCAAGGCTTTGACTTTGACAAGGCTATTGAGAGACCTTGATGTTATTATTTTTGAAGAGAATCATTACTTGTTTCTGTACTTGCTTGGGGGCTTTCCACAAATAATTGGACACAATATTCAGGATATATTGACTTTGCACACAATAACAGCTTGCCAACGCCATTAGGCCCAACAAATAGTTGGCCTGCCTTGGCCTTCCATTCTGTGAATTTTTGTCAGCCTTGTTAACTTCTTGTTCTTGTAAATAACCTGTGTTGTAGACTTGGTGCAACCAAACTTACTTGCAGTTTCAGCAAAAAAATGGAAAGCGTTGAAACTTACGGCATTGAAACTAAAATATTGATATTTTCCCTTTCTCCTTGACATTTTGTTACCTTTCTATCATAGAAAGGTAGGAAATAAATTGAATTTGCTAGGATTTGCATTTTTGCTGATGCCATTTTTTGCATCCAGCCAAAGCAGCAAGATTTGTTCAATCAATGTTAGAATGCTAGTTTTGGAGGTGCCATTTTGTTATTCATCATCCTGATACTTTTGTCACGTATGTGTATTCATCATCTTGGTCTTTTTGAGCAATGAAATCTTGATAAGCATCTCCCAGAACATCATCTTCTTGATCTTCACCATCATCATCTTGGTAGATTACATCAGGGTTGCTTTCTAATTCCATTACAAGATATTTAGATAGATATGATGTTCCATAGATAATATTTAATAGCTATCTAATACGAGCAGTATCTTGAACTTTTAACAAAGTCTTTTCTATAGAAGATTTGTGATCATGAAAATATTCTGCAGACAAATATTCTGAAAATATCTCTGAATACTGCAGACATTTATATGGTCTGGACTGGTACTAGAAACCAAGATTTTCTGCTTGTAAAAACAGTAGAGACTCCATTTAGAAATTCGCTTGCATTTTAATCAATCATTTTCATATAATCTTTCAAGCAATAACTGTAACTATATATTAAAGAAGGGAAAAAGTGTCATCAACACATAAATTTTGTATCACAGCGAAGGTCTTTAGTCCACAGGCAAAAGGACACCATCAAGTGCAGCTGCAGAAGACACTTAAACTATGCTCCATGACATGATAAGCACAGCTTTGCATGTTCCATTTAGCAGATTATTCATGTATTTGGTTTTCAATTTTGGAAATTAGCACAACAATCAACAATGCATTTAATAAAGAGAACAGTGCAGTGAATTGTTTTTATATTCAATCAATTTGGAATGAACTGGCAAGCAACAATAGTACATAATCTAAGCATATTTGGGCTGGCACACAAAGCATTTGGTTGCTGCTTTCAAACAGTCTGGAGGCATTATGGCAAAGTCTTTCAACTGTACCCCAATCAATAGCTTTCAGTTCAGTTCAGTTCAGTTTTATTTTAAATTCCACTGGATACATACACTTATTGCAAATTAGAAATAATCCAAGCTTAAAAGTATAAACAATGTAAAAGGAAGTTAAATAATATAAACGTAACATAACAAATACAGAGTAGTGGAGAAACAAGCTAGTATTGTAAACAGGGAATTATTTAAAGGAGGAAACTTTCTCAGTAGTTTATAAACTAATCGAGGAGAAAGCATTCGACTAGTATAATCTTTATGCATAATCTAAAAAAAATTTAAATTCAGCTTTTCCATTACAGAGTAACTACGCCGGTTTGACTGTATTGCCTAGGAACCCATTTCCATTTTCAGCTTTTCCATATAGAATAGTTTTCTAAAATATGCTGTTGGGCTAGAATAGTTTTCTAAGATACTAAGATACTAAGTTCTCTCAGTTCTGCTAATATAAAAATTTGCCCGTGTGCTGGTAATTGCACGCCTTGAAAAGTTTAGGTGTGCGATGGCATACAATGAGATGCGACTGAGTGTGATTCATGAAATGGAGACCTTTTGATTTCTATGAAGGTTTGATAGCCTTGAATGTGTGTATCATTGTTTGAAAAGTGTATGAGGTTTCATAAAACCAAGTAGTTTTTACAGAATTCTAGACAAATTTTCTTGAAAACAAATAATTGAACGAAAGGAAAAAAAGTATTTTAAAAGTATTCAAGAAAATACGAAAATTAATTGATAAAATGGAGACATACAAAAACGGAGTAATGGAAACAGGGGCCTTATGTCCCTCGGAAACACAAAAGAAATTAAAAATTACTTTGGAAAAAATAAACAAAAGACTGAAAGAAACAAAAGAGAAAAAGAATAGTAATTCAAAACATGGAACTGCGCCTGCATTAGAAAGCACGCCTCAGGAGGGGCAGAAAGTGTGTTATGTGGGTTATGCTCAATTATGCTCAACTATGCTGAATTAGACATCTTATCTGGAGTTTTATAGTCATGCACCATTTACTGAGTTTAGAAAATGCAGAGTGGGAGAGTAATGGGTGTTGCCCATGAGATCCGCCACTGAAAGCCTACATGAAGACACTAGTCTTTATAATCGGAAGAGTGCAATAAGGATTTTTTTCCTATCATTTTTTGCGAAACATTTTTATGCTTGTTATTTGCTTCTAGGCATGAAATTCAATCAGACGGCTTTTGGATTGGCTTCACAGGTTCGTTTTTAACTTAAAGATTATAAATGTGTATATAGGGGTTAGTGTATAGCTTAGATTAGGTTAACTGAAGCTATTATGATGAGGATATTTTGCTGTTAGGAGCAGCCAATAAAATGAGATCAAGTATTTATATCCATGTGCTAAATGCATACTTGTAGCTGCTGGCATTTTGGCACAATACCCAGAGAATCACATAATCACAATTACAATCACAAAAAAATTTCACAATGTGACCCAGAATCAAAGAGATGCTTGGGCGAATTCCATAAAAATGTTTTACAATTAAGAGTTAACCACAATTTACATGGAAATAGAGTTACATCCAAGGACCAGAAATCTGTTGTTGTCTAGCTACACCTGCTTCCCTATTTACCTAATTTTTCTTTACCTACCCTCACTCTTACTTATCTCTTTATGTATTTATATATTTCATTGGCTATTTTGATGGCTTACATCTTTTCTAACTTCAAAAATAAAATCTGTTCATCTATTCATTATCCCCTTGCTTATCTATCATCTAAAATCTGTTCATCTGTTATTTACAGATTCACTGCCTGCAGATTCAAACTCGGAATTACAAGTTGAAGAGATTGTTTCCTATGGAGTAGGTCATATATCTTCAAATCCCATCGCAAGATATCAGTTTGCTCTTTTGATTCTCATCGCAAAACATTTCCAGGTTTGTTCCAAATAAATAATTATTAGATTTTGCTGCAACGTCAGCATTTTTGCATCAATTTCAAAAGAATGTAGGAAAAAATGTGTCACCATCGAACCAACATTATGTACGGCGTCGAGAAAGATTTGCTGATGCACTGTCATCAGCAGAAATTGCAACATTTTCAACTAATGAAAAAGTTTACCGACAAAAGTGCTTTACTGGCAATCTGTTTTAATACTGACAATTTAGCAAAAGCTGTTTCCACACTGCTGCAATTTCCGCATCTGGGAGGGAGGCCATAGAATAGGAAAGAACATTTGTTAACCGCATCCAGACCACGCCCTATGTCCATTGTTTTTGGAAGGAGTTTTTTAAGGTGTCATGATGGCTCAGTGTTTAGGGTTGCAGACTACTGATCCAAAGGTTTGTTAATGGAGTCCCTTTCATACTTTCTCGTGGAGCAAGGAGACTTGCCAGCTCTCAGTTATTCCAGGTTCAGGAGTTGCAAAGTGTGGTCATATTGAGAGGGTGGGCCAGGACAGTGCTCAAAAGTCATAGTATTTCAGTGTTCTAAAGCTACCTTTTTAGCAATTATAGCAAAAGATTACAATAATTACAAAATTAAAATATAACAAACACATTTTTCGATGTTGTCTGGTTAACTGTTTTTAGTTTCGTTTGTCACTGGCCTTGGAAGAGATGCATTACACTTGTGTTCATAAAGAATGAGACCCTAGCTAAAAACATGCTTGATAACTATTTCGTTGACAGGAATTATTAAGATTTTTCTTTAGTCTTAGGTCTGCTCTTTAGTCTTGTGTTAATTTCCAAGGAAGCGTACAAATGGTAATGGTAACATAGAGAAAACAAAGTACTACTAAAAATGAAATTTTAAAACAATTTCCCAATCATTTAATAGGCTACATAGTACAGCCCAATGCCTGTTTTAATTGTTTCTTGGTATTCTGCTTTGAAAATTGAAATGTAGAAGGTAAAAGGTATCAAGGAATTTGACTGAATGCCGGTAGGCGACATAAAACAGCTATATAAAGCAAAAATGATTATAATTTTTTTAATGTGGCGATAAATTCACAGCAAAGTTGCCAAAAACGGACTACTCCCCTTACTAGTAGTATTATCCAATTCTTAGGGTAACAACTTGCTTTTAAAAGAAAATACAATATACTTTTCACAACCACACTTTCCTTATGGATAGCCATCTTCTTTCTTTGCTACAGGCCTTGAAACAAAATTTCTTTCGGAAGCTTGATGAACAACTTAGCTTATCTTACAAATTTTTCGTTTTACAAAGAGCAAATTGTTTTGCTTTATTTTGAGGTGAGATATCAAACCATTATTGAAGAGCTTCTGACATGAAAAACATTCTGGGCATCACATGATGATAATCGCGACCAGAGTTACAAATAGTGATAGCAGAATGTCATAGAATAAAAATAACAGGATGTGATCAAATATTCTCTCGTGCCACACACATTTTGTTTTCTTTAGTTTCTTTCTTAAGTAACAAGTCCATATCATCTGCAATAAATCTTTCCTGTGCTTGTTCAGCTGTTCACAATCTTCAACCAACTGTAATATAATTATATCATTATTAAACAGATACCTTTTGTTTTTCAGCTCACCGACAGTGTCCATATTTACGATCCAGTGTTTACGTTGACGGAAAGAAATATTATCAAGCATTTCGGGTTTAAATTGATAACGCACAATGAGGTATGTTTTCCAGGGCCGCTCAAAGTCACAAAACATTCTACAAAGTTGCCTTTTTCGTTTTTGTTATCCTCAAAGACCGAGATAAAACTTTTTGTTTTGGAGGGCCAGCCCTTATAAATAAGTCTAAAAACAGCCATATTTTACAGAATAAAAGCATTTTACAAATGCTACTTAAGTTTTTTGGGGGACCAAGGCCCCCGGCCCCCCCGGCTCCCCCCGTATCTCGGTCCTTGGTTTTCTTCGCAATTCCTTCAATACCCTTCATGTAGGGTGCCATCCTTCTTGTATTTAAATTCAATTCTGGGACTATGATTACATATAATAGTTGCAAGGCAAGAAGTAAATTTCACAGAAAAAGTCCTTAGATGTCCGTAAATCGGTAACGACTTCCCGTTCATATACCAAAATAATTTTGCTTTTGTTGTATCACTGCAAACCACTCATACTTCATAGAAAAAGGTACTAACACGAACTAAGGAAAAACGTATTTAACCAAGTCTTTGCAGGATGCGAACACGAGATACCCTATTCCCACACTATGATCCGATGAAGCTACTCTTTTTTTCAAAATTGGTTACCTACAAGCATTTTGGCTGAAAGACGAAGAACTATAATTTTACATAATCATATTGCCATGCAGTTATTTCTAACCAATCTATCCTTGAAACGAGTCTTTCCTTTCAAAATTGCATCGTCATCCTTTGTTTTTGCTTAAGATGATTTCACGGAAAGTCTTGCACCCAAAATGGCTGCATATTGAAACCATCATTTTATACTGATAACACCCTTAATGAAGCCTTTACTTGTAATTAAGAGGACTTAACTTGGCTAAATGCCTTTTTCGTCCAACTCCCTTCCTTTTGACAGGAAACCTAAAGCACGCGACTGTATTAATAATTCCCCAGAACAGGCCCAAAACGTAGGCCCAATTAAGTATTCATTTAACAGGCCCAAAACGTTGAATTCTAGTTGTTCACTATTGAAGTTAAAAAAATGGTTTTGAATTCAAATTATAAACTTGTTTAGTATTTTTCTGAATAATGAGATAAAAAAAGGTGGAATTTGATTATGCTTTTGAAACTAGAAGATCGAAATAGATCCATTTTAACTCGTAAACCCTGATCAGTAAAAGATTATAACAAATTAAAAATACAGTCGATTTTCGCTCATATGTGGGAATATTTTCTAGAAGTACCACCTGGAGCCATTAAAATTCCATAAATTGGTTAAGATTTTTGCCTTTGATTGCTTTCATAATTTATTCATGCTTCTCGACCATTGTCATTGAAAAATACCAGCGTGCTTGTTGCAACATTTACTTTATATTTTCCTCAATCCTATTACAATTTTAATTTATGTGCAGATCTTATCACTGAATGATAATTTTTGTATTGTTTTTATGAAGTGTTAATCTGTTTCTGCACGTATGAAAATTAGATTCAAATTTTCTCAAATGTAAGAATCATCCTATCGAACGTATCAGAAATTAATTTGAAGCTAAGTTGCAACAAAATTGATTTTTGATTCATAAATATTTCAGGATATGATAAATTTTAGCTGTTTTTTGGGAGCAAAATTTCATGATACATATTCCTATGGATTTTTGGTTTTGATTTTCAAGTCATTTTCTCTATAGCACTTAAATGAAAGCCAATAATCAACAAGCTCGTTGATGCTGAACCCATACACTTCAAGGCCTCCGACGAATGGTGGGGTGCAAGGGGCATGCCTCCCACTCTTTGTAAAACAATAGAGCTTTTTCAAAGTCTTTTGTTATGATTGTGAAATATTCTCTTGTCCCACCCACTTTTCAACTTGCGTCGGAGCCCATACCCTTGACATTCATTTTTAAGTTAACACAAGCTTTTTCCAGTGACAAGTCAAAGTCAATAGTTTCGCCAAGGTCGTTGTAAGGTCCTACAAGTTTTAGATTTATTCTCTACGTTTGTTTGTAAAGGTAGATTTTGTCTTGTTTTATGAACGAGTACAAAACAGTTGTTTCCAGTTTATAAGGATTATGCAAGGCTTGTACCATGCAACCTGAATTTTCTTCGACTAATCCAACACACTTTTTCTTTAAATTTTCTTCAGGAATGTAGCCGTCAATTAGGAAGAGCAACCATCGTGTTCATGATGCACTGCGGCAAGGCTATGTACAACAATTTGTTAAAAGCAAACTGGGGTGTCGATCTTCAAAATATTGTCCTTATAGGCAATTCATTTTCATCTTATGCGGAAAGGTGGGTTAAGTTTTCAATTGTATACATATTGGGAATGAGCGTTTTTGAAAATATAGAAAATATTCGCATAAATGCTGAATATTACAAACATGGACAAGGAATTACTAGATTTTGATTCTTTAGGTGAGGAGGAATTCAAAAATTTTCGTTACGTACAATTTTCTTATAAATCGAGGCAGTAGATGTAGACGTAGACGTCTTGCAATAGACGTAGAAGCCTTGGGCACACCCTCCGCTTTTTACAGTAATAATCTTTTGCCCGGTTATTTGGTCAAAAGTATCCCTTCTTATTTGAAAAATGTCCCTATAATACAAAATGAAGCCCTTTTTTGTCGCACCCCCCCCTCCCCCCCACTTTTCAGCATAACGTTTTAAACTCTGAAGAGTGTCAGACGAAAGTCTTATCTTGTCTGAAGAGTGGCTTTGAAAAAAGCAAACATTTGAGTAAACTAAAGCTTATCGTCTGACACTCTTCAGAGTATAAAACGTCAGAACATAGATCGAAAACTCTACGCTAGGAAAAATATATACCCAGTTGTGGATCGAAATGGGCCAATCAAAAACGAGTACTTATTGATTTTGTACCACGAAAAGATTGATTAATGTTTGGTGTAAAAGTTATGACTATAAGTATAATGCTATTACCTTGAATTTGATTATAAGATGTTTCAAGCATAATTCTTTATCGGTAGTGGATGATTTTGCCTGATAGCGTCTAACGTTATACTCATACTCTAAGGTTCTTAATAGAAGGGGGGTCTTGATAGTTTGGGGGGTCAGAAATTTTTCAAAAAATAAATAAGCGGGGGGGGGTCCTAGGAACTGGGGGGGTTGGATATGTGAAAAATCTGAAACATCACGTGACGATTCTTTTTTTGGGGTCAAATGAGATTTTCTTCTGAATACAATCGATAGCAAAATTACAATTATCATCATGTAGTAATGCATTGTTGTATTACTAAAATGAGCAGGCTAATTATCATTGTGTACATCAGCCAGGCCTATGTAAATTTTTCGGATGTCATACTACTTTTCTCATACTACTTAGCGCGGGGGGCGGGTCCAAATAAGCTCCGGTGGGGTCAGCAAAAAATCGAAAAAATTATTAACGTCCCCCCTTCTATTAAGGACCTTAGAGTATCTTTATCTTTATGTTGATTGTTTTGCTGTTTTATCGTCTTTTCGATGTTTGTTTGCTAGGTTCCCGTCAAAGACCCTTGAAATAGAGGCACAATATCTCTGTGACGTATCCTTTCTATAGCAAAACTGGTTTTGTGCCATTAATATTTAATCATAACAATAGCAAATGCATCAAAATGTGTTTCTTTGCAAACTGTTCCGAAAATAAAATGGCTATTTTATGGCTATTTTAAACTGCCTTAAGAGAATGTCTTGCTCTACTGATTCACCTTTAAACAATTCTTGCCAAAATTTGCGGTGAACCTACACTCGATTTCAAAAGTTTTACGATGCTGTTTCACTTTATATATATTATAGCTTGCGTGCTGTACAATATAATATCAAATGACTAGGAATTTAAGTAAAATTGTACTTATAATTAATAGTAATAATAATATATTATTTATTCCTAGTACAATTTTACTTAAATTCCTAGTCATTCACTGTTTCAATTCCCCTATAATATGAATGCCCTATGTTTCAACGTTCTATGGTTACCTTTGAGAACCTGACTAGCATAGGACATGTAAATGCCCTTTATTAAATAATCATAAGAGAAATGGAGGCATACAAAGCGGAATTCTAATGATGTAGTTGGTCATGCATTCGATATTGGTTTCCTTTATGCCTAACAGATACTGCCATACACAAAAGAGGCGAAGATACCCAATACTTTTATCCACAAAGACGTTTTCAACGATACAGCAATATTAACGTTTCCAAGGACTATACTTAATGATGTAAATAGTGAATTCTGGACTCGTGAAAGGCGGGAATTAAACCTTGACAATGATACGGAAATTATAGCAAAGTCTAAAATAGAGGCATTTAAATCGTGAATTCATTTTTGAGTACATTAGTATTTTGCTATGCTTATTTTTAACACTAACCTTATAATTAGTTGCAGGTTTTTAAAACGAATGTTTGTAGAACATGTAATCATGCTTACTGTAGCATCGATGTTTTGTTATCATTATCATAGTTTAGTTTCGGTATTTATTTTTTTCTTATTTTACCAATATTACATCATAGGTTTCTAATTATTTTGCAACTGGTAAAACATTTGCATTACAAACTGTTGATATTTCAACCAGAGTCAGGAAAACATTTTGGTCGCACGGCCACTGCCCGGAGGAAGGTCCACGAAAAACAATAGAAGCTTTTATGACACACCCAAGCCACGCCCACTTTCTATTGTTTTGTGAAGAAGGTTTGCCTTCTGGGATGTTTTTGTCTGGAGGAAGGTTAACAATTTTTCTGGACTCTGATTCCAGCCACTTTAGTTGTACTGCTAAGCAAAATGAATTCGGGTGTTTCGATCTTGATAGATTTTGAAACAATTTGAAACAATTGATAGATATTGAAACAATGTTCTCGGTTAAGAATCAGCTAGGAAGCCGTTTCAAGTTCTTTCTTCCCTGAAGAAGAATCCATTTTGCCCACATGTTGTTTTTTTCAATGACAACTCGAGGTCATTCCAAGGGCTCCGGAGGTCAGCATGACAAATGAAGAGAGCTTTTAGGTAACACAGAGCAATACCATTAAAGAAATTTATCATAATTTTGTCTCATGATCAATAAGCTCTTGATTAAAACCAAAGCTTTTGCCAATAACGGCCTACTTAAGATATCAGACTTGCGGTTTCTTATTTTTCTAAAGGTTCTATTTTATTGCTTTTGTATCCTTTGCAAGGCTGAAAAGAGAGAGCTCTTTTCAATTCGAAGCCAGGGAAAAGGTCAATCAGACACGTGGCGTGTTGGATCATACGCATGTATGGCTCCGGGGGTGATTTCATAGAAAAGGGTGTGGTTTCGTATGACCATGCCCATTTTTCACAAGTACAGATATCCAGTAATATCCAATGCTTTTCAATATATTGGATATTACTGGATATCTTTGCTTAGTAAGCAAATCAATGCTTTTTACGAAAGTTTTTTTCCTTAAGCAATGCAGCTTCAAGAGACCATGGAAAACACGATAGCAATTTAGCTTCAAAGGAATAGACACATGTGTGCCAGGGATAATAAGATAATTTGTCCACACTATGTCAAGATCTTTGCAAATAATCTAGACCTTTTAAGGACAAGAAGGATTTTTGAAAGCGACATCGATGCAGAATTGTTTAGGGGGAAGTGGTAGGGTATGGCGATGCCCCTCCATCTTTATGTCAGCTGCTTAGCAAAATCTGTAAATGTCCAAGCGGCATTAGAAGTAGGGGACAATCTCACCAGTTTATTGAACTTTTTAACCTCCTAGTCAAAGTGATCGCTTTGATTGCCATGGGCTGAGCTCAGGTTGTTTTCTCCAACAAGTCGAGCAATGTTAGTTGTCAAATTGTAAAAAAGTTATCAAGGCGAGTGCGAAAAATTGCATGCTAGGGTCGTCAGAAAAAAATACACATTTGGTGGGAGTGAATGCCAATTCCGTTTATTCCCATTCAGTACTCTGTTAAACGTTCCCAAAACGCCTAATGATCCTCGTTCCCAAAACGAGACGTGGCGGGAAACTTTATAAAAAAATTAAAATGGAAGAAAGAGAAGATTGTGCCAAAGAAATTAAGAGTTTCATGTTCAGTGATGGCCTTACGTTAGAGGATATGTAAGCTTTTTGCTATGTTAACACAAAGTCGTACCGCCCATTATTCAAAACTCTTCCAGCAAAGCTGCTGAAGACCTTTGTACTCTTTCTGAATAAATATTTTTATTCTCGGGTTGAGGCCATCGATGTTGCATTTCGCTATCTACTGCCTATTTCAATTGACTAGGCCTATTTCAATTCAAGATGACTATTTCAAATCTGAGGTCCTTTTTGGCAAATTTGAAGAAAGTAATTGACAACGCTAACTCAAATCTAAGTATAGGAATGTCCAGGCCCCAAATTCATAAAGTTTAAGAATAAGTTGTGTCTCAAATTTCATCCTCTGTATGTTGGATGATCGTAGAGCCGTAGACAGTGATATGTGATGATAAAGCCCAGCCTCAAATGATGATAATGAGAAAATTGGTTAAGGTTGGATGCAAAACTTTCCAAATTATAAATTTTGCAAATTAATTATTTTACCCTTGTAGACGAAAGCAGCAAGTAAAATTTGCTGAAGAAAGAGACTGGGACCAGTTTCATTCACCACGGAATCTGCTGCTTGCAATGGTTTGTGTGATATTGCTGTAACTAGAAATAGCATAACAGCAATCATATGTCCAGAGATTTCTCTTTAACAGTGAATTACATTCATATTTATTTTGAAGTAATAAATAACTGAAGCAGTATCTTTAGCATATTAACTTGATATTTAGGTATAACATTTTTCTGTTTCTATCATCAGTAAGTGTCAATTTTGCTTCAAACATACTTGGAAATTGTAGTATGATAGTATTTTAATTCATTTTTTTATTTATCAATTTATCTTAGATTGGTGAAGTTGGTGAATTGGCAGAGGTGTTGTAAGTATACTAGAAAATTTCTTACAACTGATGTAGTTTGATGATAAAAGCAATCAAAGAAATTTAAACCAACAATTAATATGAAAAATTGAAAATTTGTTTGAAGTGCATTTGCTTTTAGTTTTTAGAAGATAATTTCCTCATACTTTTTTAATAGAAAGTTGAAAGTTCTAGCTCTTTTTCACTTTTCCGGTTGCAATGCTTGCAAATGTTTGCAAATGTAACAAAGCTGTTATTTTGATGTTCTTACTGGAGTTAATTAAATTTACGTTCCTGTTCACATGGGCAAGTCTTAACTTGTCTGTTTTTTTAATTCTATTAGACATTTCAGTTTCAAAACAATATGTTTTTGTTAAGTGGAGGCCAGGGTTGGTCTTTTCACATTGCAGATGTTGAGCCCTGTATCTGTCGAGTTTGCTTGGCCTTTATTGTTTTCTTGGCAAAAAATGTGATTTTGGAGATGTAAAGAAAAATATGATAATACCTTTTTATTTGGGTGGAAACTTCAGGTTGGAATAGAGGAGTATCAGTTGTAGAAAACAGTCTTTTAAAGACGAAACACAAAGGTCATGGAACAATGAACAATGATTCTTAGGTTTCTTTGATCTATTGCTTAATTATAAAATGCTTGCATTTTGCTGGAGAGCTCACAGAGACCCCATATGGCTTGTTGAAATTGATTGATCAAAAGATTAATTGATCAGCTGTGCCTTTAGCTAATCTTAAATCACTCTAAATAAGTTCTGTTAGATTTCGCCTACATTCACAGTTTAAAATGTTCGCCAACCTGATAATATGAAATCCTGAAGATTTTCTTTAGAAACTTCGGTTCTTTTTTGTTATCTCTCAGATCTTGTCTAGAAATCAATTTGAATTTCGTATTCATAAGGGCTGTTCTAGAACTCTACTACTTTTTTCTGTAGCCAATGGAAAGGTGAAGTCAAGGAAGGACTACCTGGTATGTTTAAATGTCAATCAAGTATTATGCTACAGACAAATCCCAATACATAGTAATCATTTAGCAAGAAGTTGCACACATTTTCAAATACAAAATGTATAGTTATTTAATAATCCTTTATTTGAATAAACCACCATTACATATCAAGTCAATTTGAAATAAATTTTTATATGCCTATAGAAATGCAAGAGAAATTTGTGGAGCAAAAAAGATTAGAAATGTACTCATGAATTTCACCTTAACTTTATTGCTCCCTGCATTTATAGGCAATCAGTGATGGCCCCAAAGGAGGTATAGGGGGTTACTATCCCTCTACTTTCTCAAAACATTGTCCATATGTTTCTTTTCCCTCCAGAAATTGATTAAGAAGCCCTAGGTAGGGGTAGATAATATTTTCTCAGTTAAATGATCTGGTACAAAGCACTGAAGCGAGGCTGAAGGAGCGTGGTCTCACCACTGATCTATAAAATAGACTGGATCGAGCTTCTAATGTGACCCGAGTATCGCCATCCAAAAAGAGGGCCCCAGAACAGCCCATGCTAGGAGACGGCCTTAAGTGTCAGTAATAACAACCTCTTCAGCTGCTCTGGCTTTGTTCTTTTTCAGGACTCATACACACAGCATTACAGCTCTCACGAATTCAAATCGTTCAAGTATTTTTTTTTGAGGAATGGCTTCCCACTATTGTTTGGGGCCCTCTTCTTTTTGAAATTGAACGGGCTTCAAACTTTGTTGTTTCAAGACAATAGGAAGCTCGGTCCAGTCTTTTTTATAGATCAGTGGGTCTCACTGACTATGCCCATTATCCTCCCACTCTGCAGTGGCTGGTGCTGCCACTTTAGGCAATGCTTGTTTTTTGATCAGCAGATTATGAAATTGTTTAATAAGCAGAAAAGTTTTTTCCAGGTTGGACTGAGAAAGATCTGCTGAATGTGAGGCATGAGCTCAGTGATGTCCTCATTTTGCTTGTGCGGTTGGCAGATAAATGCAAAGTTGACTTGGCGAAAGCTGTTGTTGAAAAGGTAAAACTTAATGAACAAAAGTATCCAGCTGATAAGGTTAGAGGATCCTCCAAGAAATATACTGAATATGAACAAGACAAATAGCCAATCTGATGATGATCGAAAGAGTTGAATAAATGGAAGGAGTACTAAATCTAGTATGACAAATATCTGCATCCATGTAAGATACCCCATACCCAAAGTATTTCAAGTACTTGGGGAAATATATTGGTGATCTGAGCATGTTATTAATTAGCATTTTAATTATGTCTTGATATTTTTTTCAATTATTTTATCTTTTTAGGAAAATGTTTTACAAAAAAACCATAACATTAGCCTATATTTTTGCTCAAGGTTAAAAATATTTTTAAGACGCTTTGCAACTCTAATATAATTAAAATTCAAGACGGTCAAGCCAGCTCTACATATCTACCAAGTAAAGTTCCAAGAAGTACAAAATAGAACGGCTACCAGATACCGAACAAGCAAGTGAGAATTATCGAAGGTCTTTAGTAAAAGACACCAGCCACTGCAGAGTGGGAGGATAATGGGCATAGTCAGTGAGACCCACTGATCTATAAAAAAGACTGGACCGAGCTTCCTATTGTCTTGAAACAACAAAGTTTTTTGAGCCAAAATGCTGCATATTTTATTCCACTTATCTCTTCAATCAGTGTCATTGTGATATGTTAACTTGGCATCAGAACCGGAAAGAATTCATCGTTTTTTTGCTGCCTGCTCACTTTTTCGATAAAGTTAACTTTGAAATTTTAAGCTTTCCGATAACAGCAATCTTCCGACAGTCGCTATATTGTTTTGCAATATTTGTTGCGAATTCGCATAAAAATTTCTGCCAAGCGTGAATTGAACTTAGAATTCGAGAGCAAAAATTGCAGCTAAATAATTCGTGGCGAAAAATTCGCTTCCCGCAAAAAATTCGTCTCCTGTAGATCAGGCTTCATTTAGCATAGAGTGTGAGCTTTTTTCAGCAAACCATCTAAGTGCATTTTCCAATTCAGCATTTCTCCTTTTGTCTCTTTGCACATTTACCACTTACTAAAAGCAAGATATCATCTGCATAAGGTCTGATACTTTTAGTATCAGGAACATCAAAGACCAAAGAACTAAGTCCCAGGGCACCCCAAAGTGCTTTTCTAGAACCTTTTTGAGACATGTAAATTTTAATGCCTGAAAACTGTCAGATAATTTAGTCCCGTTAAGCGTATTAAGGTCTACCCTGGGTACGAGAGCCAGATAACATAAATTCGATCGCGAAAATAGAAGATAGGAGGAGAGCAAGCTCCTCTGCTTTTTCGTTTGGCTTTCTGTTTCACGCTCGAAATTAAGGCCATATGGGTGCACCAGGTAAATTTTTCACATGCCAGTAGATAATCCATAAAGTATTGCTCCGCATCGCAAACAGGACAATATTTTGTGTTGAGACCCTAAAAGTTATTGCCAAATCGTGTCATAATTAACAGTGGTGTGTCAAAGGATTTTTGTAGGGGGTGGGGCAAAGAAAATTTACCCGACAAGTTGTAAAAGAGAATTTTTGAGTGCGTGAATTTTTATATAAAAACCTAGCTGCATGCTTATGTTTGGTTTGTGGTATCTCTTCAGGTTTATTCTAGGGGGAATGTAGATTGTTCAGGGGTTTAATGAAGACCACCCTGGGTACCAGAGCCTCATAAAGCCAGGGATAAAGTATTGTATCCAAAAAATTTATGTGACTAGTTTTAAACTATTTTTCTGAGATTAAATCATGGGAATTGTAGTACCCAGGGTAAGTGAAGTCCTCCACTTTGATTGGCGGTAAACGAAAATGAAGAAATTAAATTATAGGGATCGGTGGAAAATGCGTCAAAAATTTTTACAACATCAACTTTAAACTAAGGAAGACCTTACGCAATATTCATACTATTTATATGATCATTCTCAATAGTTTTAGCTGATTGGATGCTGACATGAAGATTGGAATGGTCTTGTTTTAAAACAAACTTTTAAGCGTAAGAAATGGAACGTAGTTTAACAATCGATCATAAACACGAGGAAAAGACTAAGTAACTTTGTAAGTTTAGGTGTGAGATTTCGTTTTAAAATGAACATCTATCTACCTACCGTTTGCAAATGCTGCAGCCTTCTCTTCCTTAAATCTTATTTCTGTGGCTACAGATAAAAGCCTTTGATTGGGCAAAACGCGTTCTAGTAGAGCAAAACGTATTGAAAATAACGATGTTCTTTTTAGTTTGTTATGTAAAAGGCCTCATGTAAATCCAAGTAAAAACAGCTTTGTTACGAAATGGATTAGCTGATGGACAGAAAAATTTGGCGGAAGTCACCTTCGCTATGGCTCAGTCGTGCACTTTTGGACAAAGCTTAATTTTCTGCAGAAAAAGGCCTCCAATCATTTTTATACTACCCTAGGTACCAGAGCCTCAAGAATTGGGGGTACGGTAAAATATTTCTGTGACTAGATTTGAACTATATTTTTTTAGACTAAATAATGGAAACTCTTGCATCCAGAGTATGTTTACACCTATACTTGGTTACCTGACCCTCTCCCAGTGGCGTAAATAGAAAATTCATTGAAGGGGCGAGAAGTAAGGTTTTCCGACAAAATTCTGATAAGCATTTTTATCCTTTCCTGTATGTGAACATAACAAAACAACATCAGATCTGAAATAAAACAAGAGATAAAGTCTTGTCGTTTTTACAAAGTTTAGTTTTATAAATCATACGAATGGAAGATTTTCTGTTCTTCTCCTTGGCATTTTTCAGTAAAGGATTGCAAATCTGAATCAGAACAACGAAAAAAGTAATTCTATTCAACTTTAAGATCTTTACTCTCAATGTGTAATACTTAGTAAAGAGTAGACAACCATGTTTTATTTCCAACAAAGTCAGAAGTTTTCCGACAAAATAGTAGTTTAGCTTCACAGGGGAGTTTCTCTGCCCTCCGCTATCAATGCAATTGCCCTCTCCCTAGAACAAAAAGAATACCTCTTTTATATAGACAGTCTGGTATCAATGTCTGGTATCCATGTATGTTCCAGAGTTATCTCAGACAATAGAACTTCCTTTGAGCGACCAGACGATTCCACGAGGCAGTACTGTCATAACAGATATTTAACTGGCAGCCCATTGTTGAAGGGAGCAAGGAGATTTCAAAAGACATTGTCTTGTCAGGCATATATTCATGTTACACATTATTACCTATACCTATGATGGCAAACATGTCGGAAAGTAAATCATCTTCAGAAACCTACTGGCGACTATCAACGTCATTGCAAGAAGCTCATGCAAAGGTCCTAATAGATCGAATTAAGTTTTCTGATGATAGCAGTAGTGTGTTAGAAATTGGATGTGGAACTGGGGCAACTGCAGCATATCTGGCCCGAGATGTGGTCAAGAATGGAACAGTAACTGGCTGCGATCCTCAAGAGAACAGAATCCGCGTAGCCGCTGAGAAGTACTCGGACATAGAAGGACTGGAGTTTATAAGATGCACTGGAGTTGAAGCTTTGAAGGGTAAAGAACAGGCCTACGATGTTATATACAGCAATTATGTACTGAATTGGATGTCTGATGAGGAATTTGAGGAGACAATAAGGTTAAGCTTTATTGCAATGAAATCGGGGGGATTTGCAGCCCATAATATTTGTGAAACGACGCCTGAAAATTTTTTAAAATTGCTTGAGAATTTAAATGCTGAAAATGTGAAGAGGCGCATTCAAACGGGAAAGCCAATCAGCCTTGAAAGGCTTGTTGATGTATCAGCAAAAGTTGGCTTTAAGGTTGTAGACTCAGGTCGGGTTCCTATGGTAACAAAATTTGATGACTTGAGGGACTATCTACGTTTACTGAATGCGACACTGTGTGGAAAATTTGGTATCGAAGAAAGATGCATGAAAAACAAACACAATATTGATTTGCCAAAGGATGAAGATGGCAAAATAATTCATGTTAATCCATCAGCGTTTGTCGTTTTAGAAAAATTATGAGAAGTAAACACGAGGCTTTAAGAAAATTAAGTGAATAAAAGCACCCAACCAAGTTACTGAAAGAGAACAAAATAAAGGTTGATGTTTCATTTGCTTTTATTTGTTTGTCTTCTATTATATAAAATTAAAGCATCACTTTTTATATCGTGAACCTGTGTACTTATTCTTATTCTGTGGTTCAAGTAAGATTATCATGGTCTGATTCGAGCACGGGCCCCAAAATTTGCCCCTCCTAAGCCCTCTTTTAAGTCGCATGCTGTGGCCCTGTCGCTACCCTCTAACAAGTCCTACACTGTGCATTTTCTGTTTCATTTGTCAACAATTCCTTATAAAAATCCCATCCAGGAATTGGGACTGCGAGTGCACCAGCAGGATACGTCACTTCCTGGAGAATAACAACACAACAAGAGAGGAGATGTGTGTCTCGTTCTGCTTGCATGAACTAGCTAGCGTGCACTAGCATTTCATGACCACATAATAGTTAATTTCCATTCTATGCCGTGACCATTTGGGCAAATTAGCGGATGGGAAGAACAATTGTTTGGAGGACAATAGGTAGTCAAGTGACATGTCGTATTTTTACATTGTTACTGGGTGTGAAAGATTTGAAAACAACGGGAAATTGCTTCAATGCACAAAGGGAGTCAAAATCGAATTTGCTCTGCGTGTACAAACCATTTCTATGGTACAAACCCCCGTTCACACTTTTGGCGCGCAAAACATCAGTTGGTTGTAACAACACCAACAGCATTGGACTTATCAGGCCCTTTCCCGCCCCAAAATTAATTTCGATCGATTTACCAAATTATTTTTCGAATCATATGCCCATTTTGATATGTTTTAAAGGGTGTTCAGCCGCTTAATAGCTTGTTCTTAAGTTGTTCAGCCTGTTCATGGAGTGTTCAGTCTTTTAGAATCGACGTAGAACAATAGGCTATAGCCAGTTTCCAGACCATCCTTCTTGTGCCCTGGCTCTTAGCTAATCGGCCGTGACGGGGTGGGCATCCTGTTCAACGTACAACAGTAGCTTCGCGAACAAAATTCGGAAGGTATTTTGTTTTTATTCAAACAGGTACGTCAAACATCCATATCTACTGTATGGTAGCAAATATGGGGGAAAATAAATCATTTTCAGAAACCTACTCGCGACTTTCGACATCATTTCAAGGAGCTCACGCTAAGGTCCTAGTAGATCGAATAAAGATTTCTGAAAACAGCAATGTGTTAGAAATTGGATGTGGAACCGGGGCAACTGCAGCATATCTGGCTCGAGATGTGGTCAGGAACGGAACTGTAACTGGCTGCGATCCTCAAGAGAACAGAATCCGCGTAGCCGCTGAGAAGTACTCGGACATAGAAGGACTGGAGTTTATAAGATGCACTGGAGTTGAAGCTTTGAAGGGTAGAGAGCAAGCCTACGATGTTATATTTACCAATTATGTACTCCATTGGATGAATGAGGAGGAATTTGAGGAGACAATGAGGCTAAGCTTTGTTGCAATGAAATCGGGGGGATTTGCAGCCCATAATGTTACTGAAGAGGTCCCTGCAAATATAGTTAAGGTGGTTGCGAATTCAAATCCCGAAGATTTGAAGAGGCTTTATGAAATAGGAAAGCCAATCAGCCTTGAAAGGCTTGTGGATGTATCAGCAAAAGTGGGCTTTAAGGTTGTAGACTCAGGTCGGATTCCAAGATTAACAAAATTTGATGATTTGAAAGAGTATCTACGTTTACTGGATGCAACGCTGTACGGCAAATTTGGTATTGAAGAAGGGTACATGAAAAACAGTCACAAGATTGATTTGCCAAAGGATGAAGACGGGAGAATTATTCATGACAGTCCTTCAGCGTTTGTTGTTTTAGAAAAACTATGATATAAACACGTGAACACGAGGCTTTAGGCTTTAAGTAAAGAAAAGCACCTAACAAAGTTACTGAATGAGAGCACATTAACGGATGATTTGCTTATCCATTTGCTTTGATCTGCTTGTCTACTTTTATGCAATAAAACCATCACATTTTTTATCATGGTCATAGGTACGTATTTCAGAATGTTATGAGATGTAATGATTTCTTGACTGAACAGCGTGATTAATTGTCATTACGCCCCAAACAAAATACTCAATACGAATAATGTGCTTTTTTGTGCCAGGACTGAGCCTGCGTACATTCATTTCTTCTTCATTTTCCTCTGCAATCAGTGGCAGCGCCAACTACTTCAGAGTGGGAGGGTAATGCAGAGGCGGATCTAGGGGGGTGCTATGGGTGCTTGAGCACCGGTCAGAATTTTCAGAGATATAACATTCAATGCATTTTCTCTAATCTCTGAAAAACGTCTTGAATCCTTTTAGATGATGTAAATGCATTTTCCAGTAAACTAATGACATACGGTCATGCGTTAGTTAGCATAACCTGTATCTGCTTTAAACTATAAATAGCTAGAAATTTCATGTTGAGCTGCCCTGGAACCAATTTTTTTACTTGTCCATCAAACCACACTCTCAGCCAATGAGCTACTTCAATTCTACGGGTGCTTGAGCACCCCTATCAATCCACCCATAAGGTCAAAGTTGCAACTGAGCCAATCACATCACGCTCTGATATGTTTTTCCACAATGTCGAGCACCCCTATCAATGAAAACAAGGCTTCAACCAATCCGTTTGCAAAATTTTGGCTCATCTGAGCACCCCTATCAATCATTTAATATACACTGGTGCATACCGTCACTGAAACGACTAAACCTGTTCGTGTAGCAGCAATGGCGGACATAAAGTCGTTGCTGTTGCAGGTGTTCTCGATTATTGGTTGCCAGTCGGCTGAAGAAATTGAAACGGAAAACGAGCTTTTGAGTATTCAGTCAATCGTGAGAGAAGTTTTTGATAAGAGCCTGGTGGATGGTGTCGTGATTTGTGGGAATACACAGATCGATGAGTTCGCTGAACTGCAAATGCCAAAGGTTAAAGTACTGTCCCGTGGAAGTTCTGACCTTCGGCCTTTCAGGTTGGTAGTTTCCTTTACCAGGCTTTAAATGCAAAACGTTTTAACAGAATACTTTTTGGATTAATTTGACAAAAATATCGAATTTTACAGAGAAAATTGCGCACCCCCAAAAAAATTGTGCCAAGGATTTTTGGTTGTTGGGGTGGTATGGTAATTTCTACCAGAATGAATTCGATACCTATTTCTTGCCAAATGCAGATGACCCCAAAAACGTACTACTTCAACACAAGGTACTTAGTAAAACAATCAATTTTTATCAACAAATTCTTACAAGTATTGATTTAAAGGCATTCAGTCATGGTAAATAGGCCTTCTCTATAGAGGGTCATTTGGATTCGGCGTGATCTGTAAAACTACTAAGTTTTACAGGGCAGATAAAGATCATAAACCAGACTCCAGTTCGCAATAACGTTTTTTAAATCAAGATTCTTCAATAGTGAAAGTATAAATTAGCAGCAACCAACGATTACAACATAACGACTTCATTCAACGACAACTTCGACTCGACTGGACTTGCTCTCAAAGAACATACGCTTTTAACAACATGAGTGACGCACACAAAACCCTAATGACACAAATTAACAGCAAATGGACTAATAACAACTAAAATAGAGATGGCACGATGACAAACAAAATGACTGACGCAAACATCGAAAGACATTCTCATTAACAATAACGAACCACAAACACTATGCACGACAGACAAAACTAGTTGTATAACATTACTCCCTCCTTCAAAGACAAGCCTCCTGGCTTGAATTATTCAGAGAGAAATGCAAATAGAACAACAAACAAAACAAGAAATTTAAAATACAGTTAGTTCACAATACAGCTACTTCATGTAATATCTCTAAGCGGTTCTCCATAGTCTCTTTTCAAATGTCCATGTTTCCAATCAAGTTTGTGTTTCTCTTGGAGGGATTCCCTTTTATCAGCCATTTGTTGTCTTTCATGACAAATCTCTTTTCCAAGCGAAGAAACGTGCTCGTAAGATTCCATCTGATTCTGCCCTTGCGTTTCATAAGAATGATTAGGCACTGATGGAACAACATCAAACTTATAGGGCATTGTCCAATCCTTGAGTTCTCGATTTAATTCCCTCAAGTCCCTCATTTTGGCTTCCAGTCCATCTAGTGCGTTCTGAAAAATGGATACATACTGCGGGATCCCAAACTTGATACTGTCTTTGACGTCACTAGCCTGGGCATATCGCCTGTCCCAGCAGTATTTTGAAACGTGGCCTATTCGTAAGCAGCTGTAACAAATAGGCCGTCCGTCCTCCCCTCTGTATACGTTTGTGCGGTTGGCGAAGGGGTTTCTTGCTTTTTTCCAGCCAGCCTTATCTTTTCAGCCATATAAGCGATTACTTCTGTGACGATCTTTAATAAAATATCTTTCGATTGCTCCAACGACATCATTTTTTCAGCTCCAAATGAAGGTCGCGAGTTGTCACGTCGTGGTCACCAATGTAAAACTACTAGTTTACGAGGGTTTTACAGGCTTGTGTTCGCAAATTCGGCAGTAAAAGAAAGTACAAAATTAAATAAGCGTGTTCTGATTTCTTGGCTCGACGGTTATTATAGTTTCATCTAATTCAACAACGACTAAACGGGTCACTTCGGCAAAACTGGTATGCTTCAAACTTCTTGAAATAACAACGGCTATCCGAACATCTGAAATCACGTCTAAACTCTAGCGACTAAATTCAACGACTGAATTACTCAAAAAAGCCAACAAATATTTTACTCAACAGCAATTAAGATAATTAGGACAGTTATACAAAAGAGAACAAAGAAGCTGATCACAAGACAGGATGTTACATGGAAATTGGCCAAGGTGCGAACAAAAGTCAAGCACGCAAATGAAATTCAAACAGCGAACAAGCAAAAGTTTCCTTAACGAAATTTTGTCCTTTTACAGATCGCTGCTGTTTCATGTGATACTTGCATCCGTTGTTGACAACTTGCTATTGATGGAAATTGTTTTGTCAATCAGTACGAGGTGAGTTCATGTGACCAGTTCAAGGTCAACCAATAGCGTGACATTCATGAAAATCATGACTCAGCGGATTCTGGCACTTAGGGTATACTCATAAACATTTTAGCTGCCTTTTTACAAAAATAGCACGGCTTTTGCAATGTACGAAGAATGTGGAGGAATGGTACTTCGATATTATGAATTGGCGATGTGGACAAAACTGATGATGATGATGATCGATGATGATTGATGATGATTATGATTATGATGATGATTGATGATTATGATTATGATGATGATGATTGATGATGATGATTATGATGACGACGATGACAATGATGACGACAACGAAGATTCCAAATATATTAAAAGTCTGAACTTTTCTAGATGCGCTTCCAGTCTGTTTCCCAGACAACTAAGAACCTTTATGCTCTATGAGATTGCGATTCACAGACTTAAAATACCTAAAAAACGGTGGCACGAGCTATGACTCGCCAAGATTACAGAACTCATTTATTGGGGCTCTGTGAGTGGAACCTAACTGGGAATCTGTTTTTTATTTGACGAAGGACATTTTTTGCTTGATAACATAACACGAATAATTATTCTTATTCGGTTGCTTTTTCAAAATGCGTTTCGCAGATTTACACTTTCTTGATAAACAGCGGGGAATGCTAAACCCAGATCTTTGAATTCCACTATCAACCTTTGCAAGAAGGAGAAATCGATGCGTGCCTAACGATCCCTAACGACCCGCGCTGACAAAACGGTTCCAGCATAATGATCTCGCGGCAGTGCAATTACTTGATTACGAAGGGGAATCTTTCGTACGTAATTGTGAGCAGCAAAACTTTTAATTTCGTAAACTTCCTAGTTGCGAGTGCAAAGATTTCTTCAACTCAACTATTTGATGAAGAAATGTAGTCACAGATCCCAAGATTATTAATTGGTCATTTTCGTAACTGTTGGTCTGACCTCAGACTTTTAACAAATTTCCATTATTTCTATGTTTTTCCTACACCAAACTACCTTATCCAACGGGGTCTGAAGAATTTCGAATGAATTTTGGATCAACCCCAGAGAAAATTGAAAAGTCCCTGCAAGCATTTTGTGACAATTTCGCAAAGCCTGGAAATCTTCGAATAACTTTCACCGACTTTGCAAAACTTGCGAAAAACTAAACAGATTTGAAACACTTACAATATATTTTCCACGACTCATGCATGAAAGTTAATTCTTGCAGAAACTCGTGAAATCGCATATTCCCGCACTTTCTCTTGTATCCTACATAGCAAATTGCAAATTATACGTCTAATTACGTTGACGCTTGACAGGATGAAAGCACCATTCTCAATTACGAGAAGGTTCTGATCTATTCTGGCCACCGTTCAACATGCACGTGCAGAACCAATTTTAACTGCCCAACGTCACGAGCAAATCTAAAGGTGATTGGTCGAATCTAAGAGGATGACCACAAAGGGGATCTCAGGCTAGCAGCCGAACCCAATTTAATAGCCCGATTATAGACCTAAGTGTCGATTAGCGAACCTCAATTGCCCACTTAATCGGGAAACTCACGATTCTCGATTGTTCGTTTGGGAAAATTGGGAAAATCCTTTGATTTTGCCATTCTATGCCTGCATTGTTTCGATTGTCTCCCGCCTTTGAATTCGGCTTCTATGTTTCCATTGTTGAACTCATCAAAATGCCGATCCATTGTTACACAATTGGCAACAATTCTACATATATATATATATATATATATATATATATCTATATATATGGATGCCCATCGAGCTGAGCAAAATCCCCCCTTCATGTACTCATTCTTCGTACATAAAAATAGCACGGCTTTTGCAATGTACGAAGAATGTGGAGGAATGGTACTTCGATATTATGAATTGGCGATGTGGACAAAATTGATGATGATGATGATGATGATGATGATGATGATGATTATGATGATGATGATGATGATTGATGATGATTGATGATTGATGATTATAATGATGGTGATTATGATGACGACGATGACAATGATGACGACAACGAAGATTCCAAATGTATTAAAAGTCTGAACTTTTCTAGATGCGCTTCCAGTCTGTTTCCCAGACAACTAAGAGCCTTTATGTTTTATGAGAATGCCTAAAAAACGGCGGCACAAGCTATGACGCAGCAACTTTACACAACTCATATATTGGGGCTCTGTGAGTGGGACCTAACTGGGATTTTGTTTTTTTGATATGACGAAGGACATTTTTTGCTTGATAGCATAACACGAAAAATTATTTTTATTCGGTTGCTTTATCAAAATGCGTTTCGCATATTTACAGTTTCTTGATAAACGGCGAGAACTGCTATGACGCAGTAAGTTTACAAACCCGGATCTTTGGATTCCACTATCAACCTTTGCAGAAGGAGAAATCGATGCGTGCCTAACGATCTCTAACGACCCGCGCTGACAAAACGGTTCCAGCATAATGATCTCGCGGCAGTGCAATTACTTGATTACGAAGGGGAATCTTTCGTACGTAATTGTGAGCAGCCAAACTTTTAATTTCGTAAACTTCCTAGTTGCGAGTGCAAAGATTTCTTTAATTCGGCAATTGAACCGTTTGATTAAGAAATGTAGTCACAGTTCCCCAAATGATTAATTGATCATTCTCGTAACTGTTAGTCTGACAGACTTTTAACAAATTCCCGTTGTTTCTATGTTTTTCCTACACCAAACTACCTTATCCAACGGGGTCTGAAGAATTTGGAATGAATTTTGGATAAACCCTAGAGAAAACTGGAAAGTACCTGCAAGCATTTTGCGACAATTTTGCATAGCCTGGAAACTTTCGAATAACTTTCACCGACTTTGCAAAACTTGCGAAAAACTAAACAGATTTCTGATACTTGCAATATATTCGAATTTCCCGCCCTTGCTTCAGACTCTTTAAATGTCCCGAGTTCCTTGCATGAAAGTTAATTCTTGCAGAAACTCGTGAAACGTGAAATCGCATATTCCCGCACTTTCTTTTGTATCCTACATAGCAAATTGCAAATTATACGTCTAATTACGTTGACGCTTGACAGGATGAAAGCACCATTCTCGATTACGAAAAGTTTCTGATCTATTCTGGCTACCGTTCAACATGCACGTGCAGAACCAATTTTAACTGCACAACGTCACGTGCAAATCTAAAGGTGATTGGTCGAATCTAAGAGGATGACCACAAAGGGGATCTCAGGCTAGCAGCCGAACCCAATTTAATAGCACGATTATAGACCTAAGTGTCGATTAGCGAACCTCAATTGCCCACTTAATCGGGAAACTCACGATTCTTGATTGTTCGTTTGGGAAAATTGGGAAAATCCTTTGATTTTGGAATTCTATGCCTGCATTGTTTCGATTGTCTCCCGCCTTTGAATTCGGCTTCTATGTTTCCATTGTTGAACTCATCAAAATGCCGATCCATTGTTACACAATTGGCAACAATTCTACATATATATATATATATATATATGGATGCCCATCGAGCCGAGCAAAATCCCCCCTTCATGTACTCATTCTTCGTACATAAATAGCACGGCTTTTGCAATGTACGAAGAATGTGGAGGAATGGTACTTCGATATTATGAATTGGCGATGTGGACAAAACTGATGATGATGATGATGATGATGATGATGATGATGATGATTGATGATAATTGATGATGATTGATGATTATAATGATGATTGATGATTATGATGATGATTGATGATGATGATTATGATGACGACGATGACAATGATGACGACAACGA